TACAGGGTGTTTTCTTATTTAAGAATGCTAAGTGATTCTCCTGTAATAAAGTAAAAACTCCTGAGCAGGGCCAGAGTTGGAATAAGGGGCAGAAAGGAAATTTAGTTCAATAGGGTTAATGATGTTCATTTTAGGCAGGTGGACTTATGATTCTGAGGAATCAGGAGGTGTTTCAAAGTTCACAGCCGGCATTGTGGCTCAAGTCAGTTCTGAAGGTAACAGATTTAGGGACCAATGCTGAATCCATGGGGGAAACAAGAGCCCTTGAAATGGGATACGAGTAGGAGATAATGCTGAGGATGCTGGGAGAATAATCTAGAATCAGGGTTCCAGGATCTTGGCATAGCCACCTCAAATCCTTTCTACATCAGGCCTCATTTTCCTTTGCTTCTGAAGAAAATGGAAAAATTAATACAAATGGTCCCCCAACTTACCATGGGTTCTGTCCCAATCAATGAGAAATTGAAAATATTGTAAGTTGAAAATGCACTTAATATACTTAGCCTACTGAACACCATTGCTTGGCCTAGCCTACCTTAAACATGCTGAGAACATTTACATTGACTTACTCCTGGGCAAAATTATCTAACACCAAGCCTTTTTTAATCATAAGGTGTTAAACATCTCATGTAATTCATAGAATATGGTACTGAAAGTGAACACCAGGTTGGTTGTATGGGTACTCAAAGTACAACTTGTACTGAATGCATATTGCTTCTGCATGACCGTAAAGTTGAGCAATTGTGAGTTGAATCATATAGTAAGTTGGGGACTATCTGTGCTGCATCAAGGGCCCCAGGATGTGAACATAAATCATGTAAATCATTCTCATTCCTGGATAAAAATCTGTTTCGGGAAAGAAGATAAATTAGCATGATACAAATCTGCAAATTACATTTGCCCAGTTTGAAGATGAGGGTCCAGCATAGTGTGACAAAGCGTGTTTTCTCATCAACACCGTAAGTAGTTCTGCAGACGACATGCTGCTCACTTTGCCCAAATTTGTGATTATTTCCTCAGGAAATGGAATTACTGGGCTAAAGGGAGTTAACATCTTTAAAGTTCTTGTTAACCACTGAGAAACTGGCCATGAGAAAGACTGAATAATGCATATACATGTCAATTGCAGCCCATCATTACTAATGCTAAATATATTCCTCAAAAAGTTTTTTGTTTAATAGGGTATAAAGGACATTTAATTTTTTATTCAATATGCCTTACTTTGATCATGAATAATTGCCCTGCCTTGCCTTGCCTCAAATTGCCTTGCCTGGAATTGCCCTTTCCTGCCCTGCCTTGCCTTGAATTGCCTTGCCTGGAATTGCCCTGCCCTGCCCTGCCTTGCCATGCCTCAAATTATCCTTCCCTGCCCTGCCTTGACTTGCCTCGAATTGCCCTGCCTGGGACAGCCCTGCCCTGCCTTGCCATGGCTTGAATTGCCCTGCCTGGAATTGCCCTGCCCTACCCTGTCCTGCCTTGCTTTAAATTGCCTTGCCTGGAATTGCCCTGCCCTGCCTTGACTTGCCTTGAATTTCCTTGCCTGGAATTGCCTTGCCCTGCCCTGCCCTGCCTCAAATTGCCTTGCCTTGCCTTGCCCTTCCCTGCCCTGCTCTGCCCTGCCCTGCCCGGCCCAGGATGAGCAGTGGTGAAGGATGCTCCTGGGGTCCCTGGCTGGGAAAGGTATTAGGGGGTCACACGTAACTAGGCTGAGGCAAGAAGAATACACGTCCGGGGTGGCAGTGGTGCTGAACAAGTAAGGGCACTGGTGTCCAGTCCCTTCAAGAAGCATTTTCACCTTCCCTTAAGGTTTCCCTTGATGAACATGGAAGTACTGTATGTAGAATTGACTGTTCCAGCATCTTTGTATATTAGGCCAAATTTATATGTCTTCCTTTTATGAGAGGCACCCTGGTAGGCTAGGGGAGTTACACATGAAGTCTGATCTCAGCTTCTCTGTCCAGAGATGCATCATAGTCCAATCAAATAACATTCTCTGAGACTATTTCTCTTTTACTTATTTTATTTATTTTTTAGAGTTGGGGTCTTGCTCTTTTGTTGTGGTGTCATCATCTTGGATCACTGCAACCTCCACCTCTTGGGTTCAAGTGATTCTCCTGCCTCAGCCTCCTGAGTAGCTTGGACTACAGGTATGTGCCACCACATCCAGCTAATTTTTGTATTTTTAGTAGTGATGGGGTTTCACCGTTTTGGCAGAGATCGTCTTGATCTTCTGACCTCATGATCCACCTGCCTTAGCCTCTCAAAATGCTGTGATTACAGATGTGAGCCATTACACTTGCCCCGAACTCATTTTTTAGCTGTAAAATAAGAATAACAATTGTACTAATCTAAAAAGACAGCTTATTATATTGTCTTTTATTTTTTATGAAACTGTGTTTAACACAGTAATTATTTTCTTTGCCGTGCCACATTTGTTTTTGTTTTGTCTTTGTTTTTCTTTTAGATGGAGTCTGTTTTTTTTGTTTTGTTTTTGTTTTCTTGAGATGGAGTCTCGCTGTTGTAGGCCAGGCTGGAGTGCAGTGGCATGATCTTGGCTCATCTTGTATCATACCCACAGAGAGACCCTTTTTATCTCCAGGGCTTGGGAAGCAGCCAGGTTCCATGAGTTAAATGCAGATCTGAACCATACTGAGCTGGGATTAAAGTACACACCCTCCTCTTCTGAAAAGTAGCTAAGGATTCCAACTTGGTGCAGTGGAGAGTGTGGCAGAGCCAGACCAGACAAGGACCGATCACCTGGAAAAGCATGTTGTCAAAGGCCTTGGTGAGTGCTGAGTGCCATAGCTCACACCGGTAATCCCAGCACTTTGGGAAGCTAAGACAGGTGGATCGCTTGAAGCCAGGAGTTTGAGTAGAGCCTGGGCAACATGGCAAAACCTGTCTCTACTAAAAACACAAAAATTAGCCAGGTGTGGTGGCACTTGCCTTTAATCCCAGCTACTCAGGAGGCTGAGAGAGGAGAATGGCTTGATCCAGGCAGGCAGAGTTTGCAGTGAACCAAGATCATGTCACTGCACTCTAGCTTGGGCAACAGAGTGAGACTCCATCTCCAAAAAAAAAAAAAAAAAAAAACCCATAAAGAAGAAAGGTCTACTTCTGGGGATTGGGTGAGGGACTGCTGACCGAACTGGAAACTTTGTTCAGGTGGGGTTGTTTGTTTGTTTTGAGATGGAGTCTGGCTCTCTCACCCAGGCTGGAGTGCAGTGGCACAATCTTGGCTCACTACAACCTCCGCCTCCCCCTCTTCAGGTTCAAACAGTTCCCATGTCTTAGCCTTCCAAGTAGCTGAGATTACAGGCATGTGCCATGCCACCACACCAGCTAGTTTTTTTGCAGAGACAGGGTTTCACCATGTTGACCAGGCCAGTCTCGAACTTCTGGCCTCAAGTGATCTGCCCACTTTGACCTCCCAAAATGCTGGGATTACAGACATGAACCACTGCACCCAGCCCCTTCAGGTGGGTTTTGAGGCTTCACTATGATACTAGTTTCCTGTTTCTGCTGCAACAAATTACCACACACTTAGGGCTTAAAACAACATAGATGTAGCTGGGCATGGTAGCTCATGCCTGTAATCCAACACTGGGAGTCTGAGGCGGGCGGATCACCTGAGGTTGGGAGTTCGAGACCAGCCTGACCAACATGGAGAAACTCCACCTCTAATAAAAATATAAAAATAGCTGGGTGTGATAGTGCATGCCTGTAATCCCAGCTACTCAGAAGGCTGAGGCAGGAGAATTGCTTCAACCTGGAAGGCGGAGGTTTCAGTGAGCCGAGATCGTGCCATCACACTCCAGCCTGGGTAAAAAGAGGAAAACTCTGTCGTTAAAAAAAAAAAAAAGCAACACAGATGTATTCCCTTACAGTTCTGAAGGCCAGAATTCTAAATTCGGTTCCACTGACTCAAGATGGGAGCAGGGCAGGTACCTTCCCAGGCTCTGAAGGAGAATGAGTTTCTGGCCCTGGAGGCTTCCTGGAATCCTCAGCTTGTGCTGCCCTTCTTGAATGACTGGAGGTACCTGCTTCCATCACTACACTTCCCATCGCTTTCCATCACCTGCTCTGCTCTGGTAAGGATCTGGGTGAGTACATCAACCCCACTGTGACAAGCCAGAATAATCTTCCTGGCCAAAAGTCCTTAACTTCATTATATCTCTAAAGCCCCTTTTACCGTATGAGGTCATGTTCACCGGTTCCTGGGATTAGGTTATGAGCATCTTGGGGGGTCACTATCAGCCTATTACAGGTATGCCACAAAACTATTACACCTTCCTGGTGTTTCAGTGATTGGGAGGAAAAGGGTTGGGATTTTTGCTTTGGGGTTTTCTTTTTTGACATGGAGTCTTGCTCTTTTGCACAGGCTGGCTGCAGTCTTCGTTCCCTGCAACCTTTGTCTCCTGGGTTCAAGTGATTCTTCTACCTCAACCTCCTGAGTACCTGGGACTACAGGTGCCTGCCACCATGTCTGGTTAAGTTTTGTATTTTCGGATGAGATGGGCACATGGAGGGGGCAGTGGAAGGTGGGGGAGGGGACGGAAGTTTCTGCTATGTTGCCCTCAGCTCAGAGCGATCCACTTACCTCTGCTCCCTAAGTGCTAGGATTACAGGCCTACATGGCCTCACTGGCTGCTGTAAAGTCTTATTTCCACACAAGTGAGACATGTTTTAGGAAGTTTGCTAAAAGACCCCTGGAGACATTGTCGTTGTGGCCTCCTTGTTACTTAATTTGATGGATCTTTTCTGCCCTCCTCCTTTTCAGAAATTAAAAGGATAAAAAGAGGTACTAAACTTTAAAACTTTTCTTACAGTCTCCAATTAAACTAATTATAAGAACCACCAAAAAAGGGAAAAATTTTTTCAAAAGCAGTAAAATGATATGGACTGTTGAGATGTAAAATATAGGAAATAAGTCATTATACGTGAATGTTGCTCTGACGTAGGGACATATTATTGACAATCAACCTTTGCTCAATTTTCAGAGAAATGCAATGATGGTATCGCTGATCTATGTAAACACATTGAAGAACTATCTGAAAGAAAATATGGTATGTCTAAACTGGAAAAGTCCTGTAATATTTTGTTCATGAGTGTTTATACAATGGAGTCACAGTTCATCTTGTAGTGTCTGTCTAAATATTAGAAACTTTCTTTCCAGATTACTGCAAAGCTAAGGAAAAGTTGTATTTTTTAAATTATCAGTTAGCATTTCTTTTAAACTTTCAGCATGAATATTGGCGATTTATTTACATATTTATTGCAAAGCCCTGGATCTTAGGGATTTAATTAATATTGTTTTTTTTTTTAAACTAACTGTTTCTTTTTACATGCTTTGTTAAATTCGGTATTTGGTTGGGCATGGTGGCTAATGCCTGTAATCCCAGCACTTTGGGAGGCCAAGGCGGGCAGATCATGAGGTCAGCTTGGCCAAGTCTCTTATTCTGTCTGAGCCTTAGTATGCTCTTTAGTGGTCGTGAGAACTGAAGATCTATCTCGAAGATTTGATAGCATGCTACACTGCTTCACATAATACCAGATATATAAATACATAATAAATTCATCTTGCTTATGTTTTAATTTACTTATTTATTTTTTGAGGCAGAATCTTGCTCTGTTGCACAGACTGAAGTGCAGTGGCATGAGATCTTGGCTCACTATAACCTCTGCCTCATGGTTTCAAGCAATTCTTCTGCCTCAGCCTCCCAAGTAGCGGGGATCACAGGCGTGTACCACCATGCTCAGTTAACCTGTGTATTTTTGGTAGAGACAGGGTTTCACCATGTTGGCCGGACTGGTCTTGAACTCCTGACCTCAAGTGATCTATCCGGCTTGGCCTCACAAAGTGCTGGAAATTCAGGTGTGAGCCACTACATCTGGCCTATGATTTTATGATATTGTTAATTTAGTACTATTCTGAGTAAAAATCATTTGCTGTTAAAGTTTTATAAATTTACTGTTTTATAAATTAACTGATAATTTTTATAAATATCAGTGCTTTTATCAGGTGAAACTGATTATGTTGTGGGACTTTTGTTGTGATGGTGGTTTATTAGATTATTTTGTTTAAAGACAATGTTCAGCTGTTGTGAAATTATAAAAACTATCTTCACACTTTATAATTTTAAAGCATTATTAATAGTAATTGCCTTAGGGAAAGATACTTTTTTTGTAATATGAAAGTATGATATTCAAGTTTAGTGTACAGCAAAGGATATTAAATCTAAGCACTAATGTGCACTTGAAACATGAGTACAAATATCAGTGTTTAGCAGATAGACCTTAACACATACTGATAGCAAAGAAATGGAGCTGTTTTGATGGGAGACTGTTGGTTATGTGTGATTTGAATATTCCCCATGCTCTTGACTTTTCTTTTTTTTTTTTTCTTTGAAACAGAGTCTTCCTCTTTCACTCAGGCTGGAGCGCAGTGGTGTGATCTCAGCTGACTGAAACCTCCACTTCTCAGGTTGAATTTATCCTCTTGCCTCAGCTTCCCTAGTGGCTAGGACTACAGGTGAGTGCCACCATGCCCAGCTAATTTTTGTATTTTTGGTAGAGATGGGGTTTCACCATGTTGGCCAGGCTAGTCTCAAACTCCTGACCTCAGGGGATCCACCCACCTTGGCCTCCCACAGTGCTGAGGTTACAGGTGCGAGCCACTCCCACCTGGCTAACACTTGACTTTTTTCTTTTTTGAGATGGAGTTTTGCTCTTGTTGCCCAGGCTGTAGAGCAATAGCTCAATCTCGACTCACTGCAACCTCTGCTTCCCGGGTTCAAGCTATTCTTCTGCCTCAGCCTCCAGAGTAGCTGGGATTACAGGCATATGCCACAGTTAATTTTATATTTTATTAGAGATGGGTTTTTTTTCGTGTTGGTCAGGCTAGTCTGGAACGGTCTACCTCAGGTGATTTGCCTGCCTCAGCTTCCCAAAATGCGGGGATTAGAGGCATGAGCCACCATGCCCAGCCCAGCTCTTGACTTTTTATAGCTGTTATGTTAGTTGAGTCTTGAGTAAATAAATGCTAGCTTAAAAGTTGCAGTTCAGGGAATCTTCTGTTTCTGTTACTAAAAAAATTATTTTTGTAAGTCCAATAAGGTTACACTCATGTTTATGTTTTGAAAATATTACCTCTTCCATTTAGTACTATATGCATTAAATAATATCAGCTGGTATGTTTTTCTCACTTTATAATGTGGTTCAGATTTCTTTAGACAGTTTGGCTGTATCTACATTACCTTAAAGTCATGGGATCTACCTATCTTTTCTTTTCTTTTTGAGCTGGAGTTTTGCTCTTGTCACCCATGCTAGAATGCAATGGTGATCTTAGCTCACTGCAACCTCTGCCTCCTAGGTTTAGGTGATTCTCCTATCTCAGCTTCCCAAGTAGCTAAGATGACAAGCACTCACCACCATAACTGGCTAATTTGTGTATTTTTCATAGCGATGCAGTTTTGACATGTTGGCCAGCCTGGTCCTCAATTCCTGACCTCAGGCGATTCACCTGCGTTGGCCTTCCAAATGCTAGGATTACAGAGGTAAGTCACCCTGCCTGGCTGTAATGGGATATTTCACTGCAAACTTTGATGAACAGAATATTAGCATTTTTGGTGTTATTTTTATTTTTCTCACACTATTTTTCTTTGGACTGAATTACAATAACAGAAGTAAAGATCAAATTATAAAAGTTCAAGAGCAATGCCTGGCTCAGTGGCTCATGCCTGTGATCCCAGCACTTTGGGAGTCCAAGGCGGGTGGATCACAAGGTCAGAAGATCGAGACCATCCTGGCCAACATGATGAAATTTCGTCTCTACTGAAAGTATAAAAATTAGCTGAGCATGGTGGCGGGCACATGTAGTCCCAGCTACTCAGGAGCCTTAGGCAGGAGAATCACTTGAACCCGGGACATGGAGGTTGCAGAGAGCTGAGATTGCGCCACTTGACTGCAGCCTGGCAACAGAGCGAGACTCCATCTGAAAAATGAAGTTAAAGAGCAATACAGGTTGTGTTTAAATGATCTCCCTTTTTCTTTTTGTCCTTACAGCTCAAACAATAAAAGCCACTGGTCTGTTGATGATCCTGTACCCTTTTCTCCAGTCTCATGTTGAAGACCTTTATATAGAAGGACTTCCCAGAGGAATGTTTTTTCTTTGTGAGACAGAGTTTTCACTCTTGTCGCCTCGGCTGGAGTGTAGTGGCATGATCTCGGCTCACTTTAACCTCTGCCTCCTGGGTTCAAGCAGTTTTACTGCCTCAGTCTCCATATGGGCCAGGCTGGTTTCAAAATCCTGACCTTGTGGTACACCTTCCTTGGCCTTCCAAAGTGCTGGGATTACAGGCATGAGCCGCTGTGCCCAGCCTATTTTATGTATTTTTTATCTTCCTCTTTTCAATTTATCTGGGTCCAGCTTTAAGTCAGTGATGGCAGTGTTAGCTTTTGAAACATGAACACCGCCCACACCTGACTGGCTGCAACTTACATTTTCTTTTACAATGTTGTGTTACTTTTGCTGAAGAAAATGGTATCCATGTCTTGCTTTTAGGCCTGAGATTTTTAAAGCACATGTGGGAATATGTGATTGTTTTTATAGATATGTAGAGGAAAATAGCCTTGAATGCAATGCAATATTAAAGGATCCCATTTGCAATTTTTGTAGTATGCTTCAAAGAGCTGTGTGTTGCCAAATTACCACTTTACTTGTGAGGACACATGCTCCATGAAGCAACTTATGAGGCAATTTGCAATGATTTTTTTTTGTTACTCTGTAGAAACCTCAACTGAAGATTTAGTTGTGCTCAAGCATTCAGATTGTCTTAATTTTTTTCTGAGAGGGAGTCTTGCTCTGTCACCCAGGCTGCAGTGCAGTGATGTGATCTCAGCTCACTGCAACCTCGCCTTCTTGGGTGCAAGCAATTCTCCAGCTCAGCCTCCTGAGTAGCTGCGATTCCAGGTTCCTGCCAACACGCCCAGCTAAGTTTTATATTTTTAGTAGAGATGGGGTTTTAGTAGAGATGTTGGCCTGGTTGGTCTCAAACTTTTGACCTTGTGATCTTTCTGCCTCAGCTTTCCAAAGTGTTGGGATTACAGGCAGGAGTTACTGTGCCCAGCCTGTCTTTTCTTTTCAAAACCACCCTTGGTGATTAAATATTAAATATGTACTAATGGATATTACTTTGCTAAATATTGCCTAGTGAATATTAAATATTCTCACCTTTTAGACATGAGCGATGAATTCAATAACTGAAGATTTACAGCTTGATAAACCAGCTTCAGGAGGTACTTCTTCAGTCTTAAGTCAGATGAGAAGATTATGTGCAATAATTATTGAATGATTAACATTGATTTCTTTAATGGTACCTTCCACATGAAATAATGTCTCTAACTATTAATTATTTTCCAGGATAAGAGAATTCATGTTGTCAAATTCTAATACTCTCTAAAACAGTCAACTCATTGTCTTTGTATTAACCCATTATAAATACATGTAGATACTGGATTATGGGTAGACAGAAGTAAAACAACAATCTTTGTCCTACTTCTCAGATGCGAGATTTATTTGGCCTAGTGCATCAAACAGTTTATTGTTGAAGTCTATGCCAGTCAAGTGAACAAGCATTCATCAAATGCTCATGATACCCAGAACATAAGAAGGTTTCCTTTTAGAGTATGGAGCCATACATATCATGTCTTAAGTGTTAGATGTGTTTTCAAAGAAAGAGAATTTATTTTCTCACTAGTTTTGGCTCTGGTGTGGTGTAGGGACAAAACAGAAGGGAATTAAACTGTTTAGATTTACTAAAATCTAAATTTTAGATTGCCAGCAAGATCATGTCCCTAGTCTCTCCATAGAAAATGTCGCCTGCTAGCTGTTTGTTTATTTATTGAGATGGAGTTTTGCTGGGTTGCCCATGCTGGACTGCAGTGGCATGATCTCAGCTTGCTGTATCCTCCCACCTTCTGGGTTCAAGCAAATCTTCCTACTTCATGTTTCAAGTAGCTGGGATTATAGGCACCTGCCACCATGGCTGCCTAATTTTTGTATTTGTAGTGGAGATGGGGTTTCGCCATGTTGGCCAGGCTGGTCTTGAACTCCTGACCTCAGGTGATCTGCCCGCTTTGGCCTCCCAAAGTGCCGGGATTACAGGCGTGAGCCACTGTGCCTGGCCTGGTAGCTGTTCTTGAGCACACCGAGTTGTGCTTTTTTCCAGCTTTAATGAATGTCTGGTTCTTCCTTTTTTTGTTCAGTGTTAGCATTGTTTCAGTGATAAGTACATTCTGGAATCTTAGAAATAATTTTAGTCACAGGAATGAAAAAATACTGCCTATCTTATAATAATATTTAGACTGGGCATGGTGGCTCACACCTGTAATCAAGCACTTTGAAGGCCAAGGTGGCGGATCACCTGAGGTCGGGAGTTCAAGACCAGCCTGACCAACATGGTGAAATCCCGTCTTAAAAAATAATAATAACAACAATATTTAACAACCCAAGTTAGTAAACCGATTACATTGAGAAAGCTTGTATTTTTGTGATTTTTGACAGCAAAGGAAGAATGGTGTACCAGAATCACCAAATTAAGAAAGACAGTAGATCAGCTTTTCTGCAAAAAAATTTGGTAAGCCTTTTTTTCCTCCTTTAAAGTATGTTACTGAGTAATGTCTTTTGTTTTGTTTTGTTTTGTTTCATTTTCTTTATATGGAGTCTTGCTCTGTCACCCAGGCTGGAGAACAGTGGCTCTCTGCAACCTCCGCCTCCCAGATTCAAGTCATTTTCTTGCCTCACTCTCCCGAGTAGCTGAGATTACAGGCACACACCACCATGTATGGCTAATTTTTGTATTTTTTTAGTAGAGATGGGTTTCACCATGCTGGCCAGGCTTGTCTTGAACTCCTCATTCTGTGATTCCCACGTTTTGGCCTCCCAAAGTGCTGACATTACAGATGTGAGCCACCACACCTGGTGGTAATGTTTTTCATGATGTTTTATCTTAGGAAAGTAAATACAATGAGTAGGACTCAGCTCAAGCTTTCTCTTACTTTTTTTTTTTTTTTTGGTGATGGAGTTTCAGTGTTGTTGCTCAGGCTAGAGTGCAGAGTGGCACTGGCTTGGCTCACTGCAACCTTCACCTCCAGGTTCAAGCGTTTGTCTTGCCTCAGCCATTCAAATAGCTGGGATTGTAGGCACCTGCCACCATGCCTGGCTAATATTTGTATTTTTAGTAGAGATGGGGTTTCATCATTTTGTCCAGACTAGCCTAAAACTCCAGACCTGAGTAGATTCCTCCTCCTCCCAACATGTTGGGATTACAGGCATGAGCCACTACACCTGGACTCTCTTACTTTTTTTTTTTTTTTTTTAAATTTAGATGGAGTCTCATTCTGTCACCCAGGCTGGAGTGCAATGGGGGGATCTCAGTTCACTGCAACCTCTGCCTCCCAGTTTCAATGATTCTCCTGCCTCAGCCTCCTGACAGCTGGGATTGTAGGCATGACAACCACACTCGGCTAATTTTATATTTTCAGTAGAGACAGAGCTTTGCCTTGGTCAGGCTCCTCTCAAACTCCTGACCTCAGGTGGTTCAGCTGCCTCAGTGTTCCAAATTGCTGGGATTACAGATGTGAGCTACCATGCCTAGCCATCCTACAGTTTTTAATATGCATGGATTATGGAAATTTTAATCCTACATAAGAGGAGAGAGTCGGGTAATGGAACCCCATATGCTTTTTACTGAGTAAATGTTTCTGTACAGTCAAAGGTTTTCTGCAGGAGGATTGACACCATTGGGAAGCCTGTTTTCTTTGGGCTTTAGCTGTGCCTGGGTGCCACTCTGTAGTAACGGGGAGAGCTTCGGCAGTAGCCACCACTGGGCATTTGAAGGTACAACCTCAGCCAACCTGTCTTTTCTATCTTGTTCCATAAATACTTCATCAACACTTCAGAATACTTAGTTTTAATTTTTCATTCAACATCTTTTGCCACCCAAAGTTACTCTCTGCCCCATTTTTATTCTGCTTCTCAGCAGAATTCTAGGTTATTGTTCTCTGCCCCACCCCCATTTTTTATAAAAACGTTCAAATCTTGTGGACTCTTCCTTGGCTCCTCTCTGTCTCATTTTCAGTCTCTCAAGGCCCCTGCCCTCATCCTCTCTACACTAGAGAGTGCCAGTTGGCAGCTTCATCCTGAGCTAGTGCTCTCTCGCTCACTTGTACTCTCTCTCTCTTTCTCTCTCTCTCTTTCTCTTTCATCTTTCTCTTGTCACCCAGGCTGGAGTGCAGGGGCACAGTCTCGGCTCACTGCAGTCTCTGCCTCTCTGGTTCAAGCGATTCTCCTGCTTCAGACTCCTGAGTAGCTGGGATCACAGATGTCCGCCACTATGCCTGGCTAATTTTTCTATTTTTTTTAGTAGAGATGGGGTTTCACCATGTTGGCCAGACTGGTCTCAAACTCCTGACCTCGTGATCTGCCTTCCTTGGCTTCCCAGAGTGCTCAGATTACAGGCATGAGCCACTTTGTTCAGCCACTTTTTCGCTTATTACTCTGTCTTCCTTACAGATAATCCCACCCTGCCCACCTCTTAAAAATATTATATTGTCTGTGTCTTTGAGACCCTCATACCTGGCCCTGAAGGTGCTCCTCATACCAGACCTCTATATTTACCTATCTGCTTGACCCCTCCTCAGGCTTCATGTGTCCCAGGCAAAGTCCCCATTTCCCTCTCCATGAGCTTCTCTCAGGGCCTACCAGCTACCCAAGCCAGATGCCCAGGAGTTACTCTGAGGTATGATTGTCTCCCTTCCCGTATCCAGCCTAGCAAGGCCTGCTGACTCTGCTCGAACACAAAGCCCAGGTTCTACCCCATCCTCCTTCACTGCCCTCCAGTGCTCAGTTAGAGCCATGCCACAGAGCAGCCAGGTCAGGCTCATTGTACGTAGGAGATGGAGCCTGTCATCTGGACTGTCATAGGTAGTGCCTTCCACTGTCCTTGGAATAAACCTCACAGCCCCTGATTGGGTCTGCAGGGGCATCAGTGAGCTGCCCTCTGCCATTCCTCTGCTTTTCCCACATGCCGTCTGTGGAGTGCTTGCTCTGTGCCAGCCACTCTGATCATTTGTGTGCCTTTATTCTTCTCAGGTCACAGCCTCCTGGCACCGTTGTGCTGAGGGCTGGTGTTTGTGGACTGCCATTAGTTGAGGGCTTTCTGTGCTTCTCCTTTCTATTAGCATCACAGTTGAAATGTCATCATTTTGGAGAGGACTTCACTGAGCACTGTCTCACCTCAGCCTCGAGGCTCACTGACTCATCCTCCTTTCATTTTTCACAGAGCGCTGCTGGCTTTTTCCTCCTGCTTCGGCACAGTGGCTCTAACAGCCCAGATCGTGCCTGTCTTGTTTACTTCTCAAGCAGGTTCTCAAGTGATTCTCCTGCCTCAACCTCCCAAGTAGCTGGGATCACAGGTGTGCACCACCACACACAGCTAATTTTATTTTTAATTTGTAGTAGAGATGGGGGTTCCACCATGTTGGTCAGGCTGCTCTGAAACTGCTGACCTAAGGTGATCCATTGACCTTGTCCTCCCAGAGTGCTGGGATTACAGGTGTGAGCCACTGAGCCTGGCCAGGAATGGATTATTTTTATGCTTCCCCTTTTGAGACATTGCCATGGCATTTGTAAACTGTCATGGTGTTGGTGGGAGTGTAGTAGCAGTGAGGACGACCAGAGACCACTCTTGTCACCATCTTGGTTTTGGCTGGCCGCTTTACTGCAACCCATTTTATCAGCAAGGTCTTTATGAATTGTATCTTGTGCTGACTTCCTTCCTCAGCCTGTGACTTAGAATTCCTTAACTATCTGAGAATGCAACTCAGTAGGTCTCAGCCTCATTTTACCCAGCTCCTATTTTAGATGGAGTTGCTCTGGTTCAAATGCCTCTGAAAGGGGAAAGGAAATCTTGGGATTTTCATTGCCGTGAACCACTGCAAGTATTGAGGAAATAATCACTACTTCCAACCTCATAATCCTGAAGTCATTTGGTACCTGTGAGTCAGGTGTTGGGAACCGGGCAGTGTGGAAGACAGTGCCCTGCCCCATGCATTCTGGAGCATTTAATCTGGTGGGGAAATGTGTAGTAAGTAGGAGATATTTACTATGGAAGAAGGGGTTATGGTCTGGGAAAGAATTAAGTGGAATAAGGGGGATAATGAGGCAGAGGGTGTGATTGGGACAGCCTCAGTGATGCGTGATGAGCACATTCTGCAGTTGGTCTCACCTCTTTCTAAAACTTCCAGTTTCACTCTCAACCCCAACAAATGGTTCTTTTTTATTTTATAGAAAGTTCGTCAGAATTAAGTTTATATATTGTTGAATTAACAGAATAATTTGATTTAACATCACTCTCTAGTATGACTGAAAGCTTCTAATCTTTTACTGTTATTTATTTATGGGCATATTTCTATTTACAGCTATGATAATTATTTCACTTTGTGTGATTTTTCAAAAACAGGTATTTCTTATGTCAAAGAGCTCCTACACTGGATCCCTTCAAATTTGATGCTATTAACATGAAGTAAGAATTTAAGACAAGTCTTTAGATGTTACAGGAAAGCCAGTCTAATAACAAAGAAATTAATTTATTAATTAATTTCAAGTTGACATTCCAGTTGAGTTGTGGAGGTGGGGGAGGCAGTTTGGTAAATGAGTTCAGAAGTAAGGAGAAAGGTCTGGCAAGAGATATCATTTTGGATTTTGTAGTAGTGTTTTGATAGCAGTTGTTGATAACACCAAAATAATTTATCAGTGAGCTCCCTGACAGCTCCCTGACTTTTCTTTTTAAAGAAACAGGGTTCTGTTATGTCTTCTGGGCTGGGCTAGAACTCCTAAACTCAAGTTATCCTCCTGTCTCAGTCTCCTAAGTAGTATCTAGGGCTACAGCCTGTGTGCCACCATGCCCAGGTTTGAGTTACTCCCAGCCATCATGTTGGCAAATATTTAAATGTTACATTCAGAGGTGCATGGGAGATCTGTATATAATAGCACCATGTAAATTGCTTGAATGTTATTGTTTAGAGTTCTATTTGGATGTGGCTTCAGAGCAGGGATTAGTAAATTCATTTTTACTCTTTTTTTCTTAAGGCAGATTCTCAGTCTGTTGTTCAGGCTGGAGTGCAGTAGCTCACTGCAGCGTCTGTCTCCCGGGTTCAACTGATTCTCTTGCCTCAGCCTCCTGAGTAGCTGTGACTACAGGTGCCTGCCACCACACCCAGCTTCTTTTTTTTTTTTTTTTTTTTTGGTAGAAACAGGGTTTTACCATGTTGGCCAGGCTGGTCTCGAACTCCTGACCCAAGTGATCCCCCTGCCTTGGCTTTTGAAAGAGTTGGGATTTTTTGGTGTCAGTTCATTGTTTGTTTTATATTTGGATCCAAACAATCTTCTTGTGCTAACTTTGGTTATTATGCTTCTTTTCATCTAAACCAGCCTCTGCTTACTATTATTTCATATTCCACGAATTCTCAGTGGAAAGTTATTTCTTTTAAAACAGCATGGTTACAAGATTGAAGGGGTAAAGAATATTGATCTTGTGGTTGCAGTGCAGATGAAAGTGTAGCCTGAAATGTGCCCGTGTGCAGCAGCAATGGAGGAGGGTTATTACAGGTCACCAGCAGAGAGTAGCAAAAGGCTGCTTCCAGATAGTACTTACAGGCTGGGTCCACTGGCTCATGCTTGCAATCCCAGCACTTTGGGAGGCCGAGATGGGCGAACCACCTGAGATCGGGAGTTTGAGACCATCCTGCCAAAAATGGTGAAACCCGGTCTCTACTAAAAAATACCAAAATTAGCCCAGGCATGATGTCAGGTGTCAATAATCTTAGCTACTTGGGAGGCTGAGGCAGGAGAATTGCTAGAACCTGGGAGGTGGAGGTTGCAGTGAGCTGAGATCATGCCACTGTACTCCAGCCTGGGTGACAGAGCAAGACTACTCCATCTAAAAACAAATGCTACTTAGGTTGTATTCTTTATCTTCTATAATAATTTTCTTTCTCTGTCTTCCTAAGGGTATTAAGAAGAAGTTTTATCTTTTAGGATCTTTGAAGATCTTTTTTAAGACCAAAACTCTGAAGCACGTTCAAATGATTTGTATGTGGAAGGACTACCGGAAAACATTTCTTTCAGAAGTCCCTTGTGATACGGAATTCCGAGGCTGGAAAACATCAGGTAAATGGGCGACTGAATTAAATTTTTATTAAAAGGTAAAATAATCTGCGGAAACAAATTAAGAAGAGATTAATTAGATAAAGATGGGCCTTTTGTTCCCATCTCGTCGTGACTTCTTTATTTTTACAATTAATATGTAGATTACTATTTAGATTGAACAAGCATTTATTTAGTATAAGCATTAGATGTGCAAAATTGCGTCTGACAAGAAGTATTTGGGCTTCCTGTCGTTGGGGGCTTAATACTAAGAAAAATACAATGAAAAGTTATTGAGCATTTTTGGGGAATAAAGCAAGGATGGCATATCCCCTTACTGTCTCATTGAAGATCAATGAGAAAGTAAAAGCAAAGTATTATAAGTTCCATCAAAGAAAACCGTTTAAGTTTTTGTTCTTGATGTTATTTCTCTAATAAACAGCTGCTATCATTTCAGACCACTTGCTATGTAGGCCCTTAGGAATTTTTCACTAGAAGGCATGTAAAGAAAGACGAGCATTTGTAAGGGATTTAACGTTCATCATTTGACTGCATGACTCATCCCCAGAGCTGTAATTTTACTAACAAATTTTTCAGAAGCCAGTTAGCAGCTGCACCTCGCCAGCCAGCCACCCTCAACATCCAGTGCTGTTTTGTTCTTCTGTTTCTCCTCAAACTTGGTTACTCTCACAAAGTCCTTGCATTTCTTTTCTTTCCTTTTTTCTTGCTCCGTCACTCAGGCTGCAGTGCAGAGGTGTAATCACGGCTTGCTATAGTTTCAAACTCAAGTAATACTCCCACCTCAGCCTCCCAAGTAGCTGGGACTACAGATGTACACCACCACGCAAAGCTAATTTTTTTATTATTTATTGTAGAGATGGGATCATGCTGTGTCGCCCAGGATGGTCTTTAACTCCTGGCCCCAAGTGGTCCTCCTGCCTCAGCCTCCCAAAGTTCTGGGATTATATGCAGATACAAGCCAGCTGTGACCAGCCCCCTATTTATTTTAAATAACAGCTTTATTGAAATATAGTTAACATACCTTACACTTCATTCATCAAAGTATGCAATTCAGTGGTCTTTAGAGTAGTCATGGAGCTGTGCATCTGTCACCACAATCAATTTTAGAAGCTTTCATTGCCCTATAGAGAAATCTTCATTTCTTTGCCATTAGTTCCTACTCCCCCTATACCCCTGTGCTCCCATAGGCAACCGGTGATGTATTTTCTGTCACTATAGAGTTGCATAATCTGGACCTTTTATATAAATAGGATTGTGCAATATGTGGGGATCTTTGGTGGCTGGCTTTTTTTTTCACTCCTAGCGTAATGTTTACAGAGTTTCTTGATGTCATGGCATGTGTCAGTATTTCTCTCCTTCTATGGCTGAACAGTATACTCCATGGTAGAGTCACACTACATTGTATTTATCTGTTCATCAGTTGATGAACATTTGGGTTGTTTTCCTGTATTGGCCATTATGAATAATACTGCTCTGAAGATTCATGTACAAGTTTTTTTGTGGACATATATTTTTATTTCTCTGGGATATATGCCTAGGAGAGAAATTGTTGCATTCTATGATACTGTAAATTTAGGCTTTTCAGAAACTGTTTTTCAAAATGGTTATACCAGTCAGGTGTGGTGACTCACATCTGTAATCCCAGCCATATGAGAGGCTGAGGTGTGAGGATCACATGAACCTATGAGTTAAAAACCAGTCTGGGCAAGATGGCAAGACCCTGTCTTTATTTTAAAAAATAAAATGAAAATGACAAGAAAAGAAACACCCAAACAAAGTGGTTAAACCATTTTATGTTCCCACCAGTAATGTATGTGGGTTCCAGTTTCTACGTTTTTACCAACATTTCTTCTTTAGAGGCAAGATCTCACTGTGTCGCCCTGGCAGGAATGCAGTGGTGTGATCATGGCTCACTGCAGCCTCGAACTCCCAGACCCTCATGATCCTTTTATGTCAGCCTCTTGTGAAGTTGGGACTACCTTCAGATGCCACCACACTCAGCTAATTTTTGTATTTTTAGGACAGACAGTGTTTCACTATGTTGCCCAGTCTGGTATCAAACTGCTGGACCCAAGTGATCCACCTGCCTTGGCCTCCCACACTGCTGAGATTACAGGTGTGAACCACCATCCCTGGTTATCTCTCTTTTTTGTCTCTTTCCTTCCTTCCTTTGGTAGATGGAAGAAAATAGTATCCATGTCTTATTTTTAGGCCTGAGACTTAATGCATATGAGGGAATATATGATTGTATTTATAGATGTTTAGTGGGAGATAGCCTTGAACACAATGTGATATTAAAGGATCCCATAAAAGATATTTGTAGTATGCTTCAAAAGAGCTGTATGTAGCCAAGTTACCACTTTACTTGTGAGGACACATGCTCCATGAAGCACCTGATGAGACAATTTGCAATTGTTGTTCCGTTTTGTTACTCTGTAGATTTAGTTGTGCTCAAGCATTCAGATGACCTTTTCTTAATTTCTTTTTCTGAGACAGAGTCTTGCTCTGTCACCCCGGCTGGAGTGCAGTGGTATGATCTTGGCTCACTGCAACTTCTGCTTCCTGGGTTCACGCAATTCTCCTGGCTCAGCCTCCTGAGTAGCTGCGATTACAGGCACCTGCCACCACTCCAGGCTAAATTTAGTGTTTTTAATAGAGACGGGGTTTCACCATGTTGGCCAGCCTGGTCTCAAACATTCAACCCGTGATCTGCCTGCCTCGGTCTTTCAAAGTGTTGGGATTACACGTCTGAGCCACCGCCCCCAGCCTGTCTTTTCTTTTCAAAACCACCCTTGATGATTAAATGTTAAATATGTACTAGTGGATATTACTTTGCTGAATATTGCATGGTGAATATTAAATGTTTATTCTCACCTTTCAGACATGAACCTATTAATTCTACACGTGAAGATTTACAACTTGATAAACCAGCTTCAGGAGGTAGGTCTTCAGTATTAACTCAGATGAGAAGATTGTGTGCAATAATTATTTAATGCTTACCATTGATTTTTTAATGGTACCTTTCATGTGAAATAAAATGCCTCTAACTACTAATTATGTGCCAGGACAGGAGAATTCGTGTCGTCCAACTTCTGTTACTCTCTAGAAAAGTTAACTCAGTTTGTTTGTATTAAGACATTATAAATATGTGCAAATACTGCATTTATGTGTAGACAGAACTAAAATAACAGTATTTGTTCTACTTCTGAGATGCAGTATTTATCTGGCATAGTGCATTGAACAGTTTATTATTGAAGTCTACACCAGTCAAATGAACGAGCCTTCATCAACTGTCTGTGATACCCAGGACATAAGGTTTCCTCTTAGAGTATGGAGCCATGCATATCATCTCTTAATTGTTAGATGTGTTTTGAAAGAAATGGAATGGATTTGGTTACTGGTTTTGTTTCTGGAGCGGAGAGAGGCAAAACAGAATGACTCCCACTGTTTAGATTTCCTAAAATGGAAGGATTGCCAGCAGATCATATTTCTGGTCTCCCCATAGCAAATGTTTTCTTTCTTACTCTTTTTTTTTTTTGAGATGGCATTTTGCTGTATTACCCATCCTGGAGTTCAGTGGTGTGATCTCAGCTCACTGCAACCTCCACCTCCTGGGTTCAAGCAGTTCTCCTGCCTCAGCGTCCCATGTAGCTGGGATTACAGGCACAAACAACCATGCCCATCTAATTTTTGTATAGTAGAGGTGGGGTTTCACCCTGTTGGCCAGGCTGGTGTTGAGCTCTTAACCTTAGGTGATCTGGCTGCCTCAGCCTCCCAAGAATCTGGGATTACAGAAACGTGCCACCATGCCCAGTTAATTTCTGTGTAGGTAGTAGAGATGAGGTTTCACCACGTTGGCCAGGCTGCTCTCAGACTCCTGTCCTCGAATGATCCACCTGCCCTGGCCTCCCAAAATTCTGGGCTTACAGGTATGAGCCACCCACGTTTGGCCAGTGATTGACTTTCATTTATTTATTTATTTATTTTTTGAGATGAAGTTTCACTCTCGTTGCCCAGGCTGGAGTGCAATGGTGCGATCTTGGCTCATGGCAACCTCCACCTCCTGGGTTCCAACAATTCTTCTGCCTCAGCCTCCCGAGTAGCTGGGATAACAGGTATGTGCCATCATACCCAGCTAAGTTTGCATTTATAGTAGAGACAAGGGTTTTTAATGTTGGTCAGGCTGGTGTTGAACTCCTGACCTCAGGTGATCTGCCTGCCTCGACCTCCCAAAGTGCTGAGACGACAGTTGTGAGCCACCACACCCGGCCCAGCTCTTGACTTGTTATACCTGTTGTATATTTTAATGTTGAGTAAATAAATGCTAGCTCAAATGTTGTAGTTCAGGAGAATCTTCTGTTTCTGGTACTTTTGAAAATTATGTTTATAACTCCAGTAAGTGTTTTTACGAGTCCAGTAAGGTTACACTGATGTTTATGTTTTGGAAATATTACCTTTCCCATCTAGTACTATACGTATTATGTAATATTAGCTGATGTGTTTTTCTGGCTTTATGATGTGGTTCAGATTGCTGTAGAAAGTCTGGCTGTATCTACATTGGCTTAAAGTAATGGGATTTTGTTTTTTGAGCTGGAGTTTTGCTCTTGTCACCCATTCTGGAATGCAACGACATGATCTCGGCTCACTGCAACCTTCGCCTCCCAGGTTCAAGTGATTCTTCTACCTCAGCTTCTGGAATAGGCGGGATTACAGGTATCCACCACCACGCCTGCCTGATTTTTGTATTTTTAGTAGAATTGGGGTTTCCCCATGTCGTCAAGGCTGATCTGGAACTTGTAACCTCAAGTGATCCATTTGCCTTGGGCCTACCAAAGTGCTGGGTTACAGGTTATTAGACACCACACCTTGCCTATGTTTATATTGTATTGTTAATTTAGTACTATTCTAAGTAAAAATAATCTGCTATTAAAGTTTTATAAATTGACTCTTAACAGTTTAATGAATGTAAGTGCTTTTTATTTTTCTTTTTATTTTTTTTTCCTTTTTTTTATTGCATTTTAGGTTTGGGGGTACATGTGCAGAACATGCAAGACAGTTGCATAGGTACACACATGGCAGTGTGTTTTGCTTTCTTTCTCCCCTTCACCCACATTTGGCATTTCTCCCCAGGCTATCCCTCCCCACCTCCCCCTCCCACTGGCCCTCCCCATTTCCCCCCAATAGACCCCAGTGTTTAGTACTCTTCTCTCTGTGTCCATGCATTCTCATTTGTCATCATGTTTTGGGGCTTTTTTGTGATGGTGATTTATTAGATTATTTTGTTTAAAGACAATAATTGCAGCTGTTGTGACATTATAAAAAATCTTCACATTTTATAATGTTAAAGCAGCATTAGTGGTAATTATCTTAGGAAAAGATACTTTTGTTTTGGTCTGTAAGTATGATATTCAAGTTTAGTGTACAGCAAAGGGTATTAAACTTCACTCAGCACTAATGTGTTATATGGTGCACTTGAAACTTTAGTACAAATGTCAATGTTTAGCAGATAGACTTTAACACATAACGATAGCAAAAAATGGAGCTATTCTGATGGGAGATTGTTGGTTATGTTTAATTTTACTACTTCCCATGCTCTTGACATTTTTTGTTTCTTTGAGAGAGTCCTGCTCTGTGACCCAGGGTGGAGGGCAGTGGCATGATCTCAGCTCACTGCAATGTCCACCTCTCAGGTTCAAGCGATCCTCCTGCCTCAGTGTCCGTAGTAGTTGGGACTACAGGTAGGTGCCACCATGCTAAGCTAATTTTTGTATTTTTAGTAGAGATGGGATTTCACCATGTTGGCCAGGCTGGTCTCGAACTCCTGACCTCAGGTGATCCACCCACCTAGGTATTACAAATTGGTGGGGTTGTAGGTTTGAGCCTGTTCAATGACTAGCTCTTGAATTTAATTTTTTTTTTGAGATGTAATTTGGCTTTTGTTGGCCAGGCTGGAGTGCAATGGCTTGATCTCAGCTCACCACAACCTCCTCCTTCTGGGTTCAAGCGATTCTCCTGCCTCAGTCTCCCAAGTAGCTGGGATTACAGGTGTACACCACCATGTCTAGCTAATTTTTTTTTTCTGTTAAGTAAAGATGGGATTTTTCACGTTGGTTAGGCTGGTCTCGAACTCCAGTCCTCAGGTGATCTGACGACCTCGGCCTCCCAAAGTGCTGGGATCACAAGTATCAGCCACAGTGCCCATCCCAGCTCTTGATGTTTTATAGATGTTGTATTATTTCAGTCTTGAGTAAATAAATGCTAGCTGAGATGTTGCAGTTCAGGAGAATCTTCTGTTTCTATTAGTTAAAAAAAATTATTTTTATAAGTCCAATAAGGTTACACTAATGTTTATGTTTTGAAAATATTACATGTTCCATTTAGTACTGTATATATTAAATAACATTAGCTGGTATATTTTTCTGGCCTTATAATTTGGTTCAGACTGTTGTAGAAAGTCTGGCTGTATCTACACTGGCTTAAATAATAGGATTATTTCTTTCTCTATTGTATTTAATTTTTTTTGAGCTATAGTTTCCATCTTGTCCCCCATGCTGGAGTGCAATGGCATCATCTTCTCTCAGTGCACCCGCTACCTCCTGGGTTCAAGTGATTCTCCTTCCTCAGCTTCCCGAGTAGCTGGGATTGCAGGCACCTGCCTCCACACATAGGTAGTTTCTGTATTTTTAGTAGAGATGGGTTTTCCCATGTTGGCAAGGATGGTCTCAAACTACTGATGTCATGTGATTCACTGACCTCAGCCTCCCAAAGTGCTGGATTACAGGTGTGAGTCACTGTGCCCAGCTGTAATGGGATATTTTACTGTAGACTTTGATAATCAGAATTTTAGCATTTTGGAGGTTCTTTTAATTTGTTTCATACTATTTTTTGGACTCAATTACAATAACAGAACAAATTATAAAACTTAAAGAGCAATGCAGGGCATGGTGGCTCATGCCTGTAATTCTAGCACTTTGGGAGGCCAACGCGGGTGGATCATGAGGACAGGAGATCAAGATCATTTTAGCCAATGTGGTGAAACCCCGCCTCTACTGAGTGTACAAAAATTAGCTGGGCATGGTGGCAGGCACCTGTAGTTTCAAATACTCAGGAGGCTGAGGCAGGAGAATTGTTTGAACATGGGAGATGGAGGCTGCAGTGAGCTGAGATTGTGCCATTGCACTCCCACCTGGCAACAGAGCAAGACTTTGTCAAAAAAAAAAAAAAAAGTAAAGAGCAATACAGATTGAATAATTCTTTTCTACAAATTGTATTTAAATGATATCCCTTTTTTTTTTTTTTTTTTAGTTACAGCTCAAGCTGTAAAAGCCAAAGGTCCAGGATGATCTTGTACTTTTATTCCAGTCTCATGTGGAAGATCTTAATGTAGAAGGACTTCCCAAGGGATTTTATTCTGAGACCAAGTTTTCACTCTTGTCACCCAGCCTGGAGTACAGTGGCATGATCTCGGCTGGCTGCAGTCTCTGCCTCCTGGGTTCAAGCAATTCTCCTTCCTCAGCCTCCTTATTGGCCAGGCTGGTCTCAAAATCCTGAGTTTGTGATTTACCTGCCTCGGTCTCTGAAAGTGTTGGGATTACAGGCGTGAGCCATTGTACTCAGCCTACTTTACATATTTTTGTCTTTCACTTTTTAATTTTTCTGGGTCCAACCCTAAGTCAGTCATGCCAGTGTTAGCTTTTGAAACATGAACACTGCCCACATCTGACTGGCATGCAACTGACATTTTCTTTCAGAGTTCTGATTGGCTCCATATCAGGGGAGGTCTGTGATGTCAGAAGGGTGGGTTTTCAGGGAAGTCACAGGGACAGTACAGGGCCTGGAGATGTGTTGTTTTCTCCTCAGAGTGAAGCCTGGTAACTGCAATGTCTCAGCTAGGTCCTGTGCTGCTGGCTGGAAAAGGGCAGTTGACAAACTCTGACCCGGTACAGTGTTTATTTAGGTCAAAAATAGAAAACTGTGTCCAGGTGTGGCTGAGGTAGGGGGAATCCCTTCAGTCCAGGAGTTCAGGAGCAGCCTGGGCAACATGGTGTGACCCTGTATCTGTAGTCCCACCTCAGCCTCCCAGCTACTTGAACCCCAGGGTTCAAGGCTGCAATGAGCTATGATCCCACCACAGAACTCCACCCTGTGAGACTGAGGTAAACCCTGCCTAAAAGAACAAAAAGAAAACTCTCCAAGTGTGCAAGAGTAGGAGACTGCTTAAAGAAAACATGAGGCTCCCTGGGCCCTGTAATCCCAGCACTGTGAGGGCCGAGGCAGGAGGATGGCTTGGGCTTAGGAGTTTGAGACCAGCCTGGGCAACATGATGAAACCCTGTCTCTACAAAAGATGTAAAAATTAGCTAGGTGTGGTGCACACCTGGCGTAAGTTTTGTAGAGATGAGGGAGGTGTACATTCCTGAACAGCCACTCTCTCATCATATCTGACAAATTTAGCAGTGATTTTTTGGTGTCAGCTCATATGTAGCCCTTAGTTGAGTTTCCTTACTCTTATCTGAATAGTATCACATTTCCTCATTATCTGAATCTATGAAGAAAGCCTTCCCAAAGGAATTTGTTTTTCTTTTTCTTGAGACAGTTTTCACTCTTGTCACCCAGGTCGGAGTGCTATGGTGTGATTTTGGCTCACTGGCTCTTGGGTTCAGGCAGTTCTGCCTCACAGTCGCCCACCACCATACAAGACTAGTTTTTGTATTATTAGTAGAGAAGGGATTTTTCTATGTTGGCCAGGCTGGTCTTGAACTCCTGACCTCAGGTGACACTAGGTGGAATAAGGGGGATGGGTGTGATTGGGGCAGCCTTTATGATATGCGATGGGCACATACTGTAGTTGACTTCTCCTCTTTCTACAACTTCTACTTTTTACTCAGCTCTGACAATTGGTTCTTTTTTATTTTATAGAAAGCTTGTTAGAATTAGGTTTATATAGTTTCTTGTTGAATTGGCAGAATAATTTTATTTAACATCATTCTTTAGTGTGACTGAAAGCCTGTAATTTTTTAACCATTGTTTGTTTATGGGCATATTTCTTTTTACAGATATGATAACTATTTCATTTTGTGTGTTTCTTATTCCAAAGAGTTCCTATACTAGATCCTTTCAGATTTGGTGCTAATAACATGAAGTAAGAATTTAATACAAATCTTAGATGTTAGAGGAAAGCCAATCTAAGATCAAAGAAATTAATTTCTTTCAAGTTGAGGTGTGGAGGTAGAGGAGGCAATTGGATAAATGAGTCCAGAAGTAAGGAGAAAAATCTGGCAGTCGATGTAATTTTGGATTTTATAGTAGTGTTTCGATAGCCTTGTTGATATCACCAAAATAATTCATCAGTGAGCTCCCTCACAGCTCCCCATTTCTTTTTAAAGAAACCAGGTCTTGTTATGTTGTCTGGGCGTGACTAGAACTTTTGGGCTTATGTTATCCTCCTGCCTTAGTGTCCTAAGAGGCTGGGGCTACAGGCATGTGTTACCATGCCCAGCTTTGAACCACTCCCAACCATCAGGTTGCAAAACATTTAAATTTTCATACAAAGGTGCAAGGGAGATCTCTATATAAATAAATAGCACCATGTGAATTGCTAGAATCTTTCTTTTTAGAATTCTGTTTGGATGTGGTTTCAGAGCAGGGAATAGTAAATTAATTTTTACTTTATTTTTGTTTTTGTTTTTGGTATTTTTTTAAGCAGATTCTCACTCTGTTGCCCAGGCTGGAGTCTAGTGGCATGATCTTGGCTAACCGTAGCCTTTTCCTTCTGGGTGCAAGTGATTTTCTTGCCTCAGCCTCCTGAGTAGCTGGGATTGTTTTTGTTTTTGGTATTTTTTTAAGCAGATTCTCACTCTGTTGCCCAGGCTGGAGTCTAGTGGCATGATCTTGGCTCACTGTAGCCTTTTCCTTCTGGGTGCAAGTGATTTTCTTGCCTCAGCCTCCTGAGTAGCTGGGATTACAGGTACCTGTCACCACATTTGGCTAATTTTGTGTGTGTATTTTTGGTAGAGACAGGGTTTCACCAGGTTGGTCTCTGAACTCCTGACCCAACTGATCCACCTGCCTCGGCCTCTCAAAGTGCTGGAATTGTAGGAGTGAGTCGCTGCTCCCGACCATTTTTTGTTTTTTACATTTTTAAATTATAGTTTATATACTTATTCAAAAGTAGAGAAAATAGTACAATGAACACTAAAATACCCATTCCTCAATTTCTGTGATCATTAAGATTGTCCACATTTTGTTCTGCTATTCTTTTACCTCCCTTTGCAGGAATATTATAAAGCAAATCGCAGTCATCACATTATTTTATCTGTTCAGTGTGCATTCCCGAACAGCCACTCTCTCATCATATCTGACAGATTTAGGAGTGATTTTTTGGTGTCAGCTCATATGTAGCCCTTAGTTGACTTTCCTTACTCTTATCTGAATAGTATCACATTTCCTCATTATCTGAAAAAAATTTGTTTTAAATCTGGCTTTAAACAGTCTTCATGTGTTAACTTTGGTTGTTATGCCTCTTTTAATCTAAATCAGCCTCTGCTTACTATTTTTAATTCCCATTCCCTGAATTCTTTGTGGGAAGTTAATTCTTATTAAATAGCATGCTCACGATGTTGAAGGGGTAAAGAACATTGATCTCATGGCTGCAGTGCAGATGAAAGCGTAGCCTGAAATGCACTACTGTAAGGCAGCCAATGGAGGACGGTTATTACAGTCACGGGCAGATAGTAGCAAAAAGCTTCTTCCAAATAGTGTTTATGACTGGGCACATTGGCTCATGCCTGTAATCTTAGCACTTTGGGAGGCCAAGGTGGGTGGATCAGCTGAGGTCAGGAGTGTGAGACCAGCCTGGCCAACACAGTGAAGCCCTGTCTCTACTAAAAATATACAAAAATTAGACAGGCATGCTGGTCGGCACCTGTAATCTCAGCTACTTGGGAGACTGAGGCAGGAGAATTGCTTGAACCCGAGAGGCAGAGATTGCAAGGAATCAAGATCATGCCACTGCACACCAGCTTAGGTTATGTTCCTCATTGTCTATAATGATTTTCTTTTTTTCTCCTCTGTTTAAGGATATTGAAAAACAAAGTTTAATCTTTGAAGATCTTTGAAGATGGTTTTTAAGACCAAAAATTTGAAGGACATGCGAATGATGTGTGTGTGGAAGAACTACTGGAAGACATTCCTTTCAGAAGTCCCTCATGATAGGGAATCCCAGGGCTGGAAAACATCATTCAAGTGGGCAATCAAATTACATTTGTTATTAAAAGGTAAGATGATAATCTGCAGACACAAATTCAGTGTCTTCCCTAAGAAGAGATGAATTTGATTAATTTGGGCCTTTTGTTTCCCTCTCATCATGACTTGTTTATACTTACAATTCACATTTAGTTTCTCTTACTAAACAAACATTTAGTATAAGTATCAGATGAATAAAATATGCCCTTACATATAGGCACATAGAGTTGGGCTAGGGTGTCATCAACTTTTAGAGAGTGATTGTAGCTAATTGACTCCTTGTTCATTCTTGCATTTATTCAGTATAGAAGTAGTAACAGAGGTTTTAAGTTAACCTGCTTGTGGATAATTAACATGGTTGAAAGAGTGGTTTTAAGAATGATGAAAACTTGTGGTTCTGAGGTCCAGAATAAACACCATTAAGAAGTAATTCTTTTTCAACCTCCCCCTTAGAGGAGCAGCTAGCATGAAGTTTACATGAGTAAACGCAGTAGAGAAAAAGGAATGTGGGGTAAACAGACTCAACCAGGGAAGCTTTTATCATCTTAATCTTCACCTTATGACTTAAAGCTCGAATGTAAGAACTGGCTGTCTTCAGCCTGGCTCATTAAAACTTGGCTTTTCAAACGTTTGATACTGCATTCTATACTTCCTGAATATTTCCTTTAATATTTTTCCAGCCACCCTGAGTGAATCCCAGCACTGCCCTACATAAAATATATCCTTAATGATATTTCCTATTTGATGTCTGACTCCCCCTCCTCCTTCACTAAAAGGTAAGTAAGAGAAGGGATTCTGTCTGTTCTGTTCTGTTGTAACCCTAAATCCCTAGAAGGTGCTCAGTAAATATTTGCTGTTTGAATGAATAAATCAGCCTATTATTGAATCAGTCAGTCTCCTGTGGAAGGACTTCTCATACCAGTGGTGCATATCTGTATGATAGCTGGCACAGGGAGGGATGTGGTCAGAATGGCTCTGTCTATGTGGACTAGTTTTGCTTAGCATAATCCCAGCGGGCTCCTGTTGGGGTTAAGCCACAGTTTCAACCTGATTAATTAGTATCATTCTTTAATCATTAAGCCAGAGGATAAGATTGGAATTGATCTGGGAGACTATTCAGTCTGCTTGTCTGTTTATTGATGTGAGAATAACAGAGCCTAGAGAAAGTAAGCTGATTACTCACAATCATAAAGCTTCAGAGGTCAACCTGAAATTAGGCTTCTGATGTCAGATTCTGTAGTGTTTTCTTCATGTGTTCCCCCTGGCTGAGACAGTTCATGGGCTTTCAGGTTTGACATTTTTCTCTCCAGTCTCCAAACAAAAGCTTTTATCTGGACACTCTAGGTTAGCATAGATGGACAATGACCCTGCCATGTGTGGATAATCCCAAAGGTTGACCACTGTGGATGGGAACTATCCCAGATGTGTCAGGAGTACCACAGGCATGCTCACTTCTCTATTCATTGAAGCTGTATACAGTGGAAAGGAAACCCAGATCAAGACACTTTGCTGCTTCAGTTCTTTTATTACATGTCACAGTCCCATATGTCTCCATTTAAGTTCAGACTTTTTGATGAATCATCAGACCAGCTGCAGGCCCTTTGGTTCAGAAGTCTTGATCTCACCAACTGTTCATTTTCTTAATGGACTTCCTTACTTCAGGCATTTGTGTGTAGCTGGTCTATTGTGGAGTTGTCAGAGGGGTGTGGAGCCCTCTCTTTTTGGGACAGTCGGTTCTCTTTGTGTAGCATGTCCTGAAGTGGGGCTGTCTCCATTCTCTTTGTGTGTGAAGTCTTCTGTTAAGCAGGGTAAAGTGAGAGAGGACTCCTAAAGAGAAAAACTCCTCCAGCATTTGCCGAAACATGTTTGTGAACTGACCAAGATGTAATTGGATGGCATGAAAAAGGCTAAAATTTATTTAATTTCTTGCTATCTGGTTTGTGGTACATGGTGCCCTAAATTGAGTTTAGAAGAAACTTTGCAGATGGAATTTTGTTCTGTTGCCCAGGTTGGAATGTAGTGGTGTGATCTCAGCTCACTGCAAACTTTGCCTCCTGGATTCAAGTGATTCTCCTGCCTCAGCCTCCCAAGTAGCTGGGATCACAGGCACCTGCCATTATGCCTGGCTAATTTTTATACTTTTAGTAGAGATGAGGTTTTACTATATTGGCCAGGCTGCTCTCAAACTCCTGACCTCAAACGATCTGCCCATTTCGGCCTCACAAAGTGTTGGGATCACAGGTGTGAGCCACTGTGCCCGGCCGATGGTGTCATATTTAATTCTACTCCCTGTGGCCTCTTTTACAATACCAGGCATGCATGAAGCCCATGGTTTTGCTGCACCTAGTTTTACTCAAACAAAGGCTCTGGACTTTCATAGTTTACACTGACATATTCTAGTTTGCCTCTGAAATGTACTCTGAGGATGCTGACTTCCAGATAGTCATTCTTGGCTTCCAGATAGTTATTTTTTGGTGAAGAGAATTTCAAGTCTTTTGAGTATAGTAGCCACACCACTTAGCTTCATTTTGGTTTGGTTACAAAATTTATTTTAGCTTAGTTTTCTTAGATCAAGGGGGCAAAGACAGAGCAGAAGCTTTTGGGAGGCTGAGGTGGGTAGATCACGAGGTCAGGAGTTTGAGACTGATGTGACCAACATGGTGAAATCCTGTCTTTACCAAAAATACAAAAGTTAGCTGAGCATGGTGGTACGTACTTATAATCCCCACCACTTGGGAGGCTGGGGCAGGTGAATTGCTTGAACCCAGGAGTCTCTTGAGAAGTTGGGACTACAGCACATGCCACCATATTCAGCTCATTATTTTTATTTTTAGTGGAGACAAGGTTTCTCTATGTCACCCAGGCTGGTTTCAAACTCCTGGACCTAAGTGATTCACCTGCCTTGGCCTTTCAAACTGCTGCAATTACAGGTGTGAACCACCATGCCTGTATTTCTTCTCATTTTTCTCTCTTCCCTTCCTTCTTTGGTAGAGGGAAATGTGTCATGTACCAGCTATTCATCCAATGACTGCTCCTCAGTTCCAAATGCACTGTTGACTGCCTGCTCTGCAAACGTAGAGGTGGGTTCCTTAAATGCTTCCTCTGTCAACTGGCGCATTATTAAATGTTGTCAGTACATGGTGCTAGAGGGGCATTATAAGAGGCTTTTCTTTCTAGTTGTGTGCAAATCTTCACAGGCACTGAGCTTTTCCAGCACCAGGCCTTGCCCTGCATGGTGCTTAGCAGCACACAGTGACCAGCAGTTTCTCTGCATTTGCCTGGGTGGTTTTCTAGTGAGACAACTGTTTACTAATAGGTTAAGCTAGCACCCTAGATGGTGGATTTTCAGCAAACTCCAGGGGGCATATTGCTAGCCTGTTCCACCATGTGGTAATGCAGCAATTCTGCCATTGAATTACCCATGACTGTGACCTCTCCAAGGGGTCCTGGATCTCAGCCTTAGTGGGGAAATCCCTTCCTTGGTCACTCTATCTCAGTGTAGGGACAGTAGGAAGTTACTGCTCCTTGCAACAGCTGGTCCTATACTTTGTTTTTTTGAGGCAGGGTTTCTCTCTTTTGCCCAGTCTAAAGTGCAGTGGTGAAATCATGGCTCACCGCAGCCCTAACCTTCTGGGCTGAAGCAATTTTTTCACCTCAGCCTCCCAAGTGACTAGGACTACAAGTCTGTGCCACCACACCTGGCTTCTTTTTTGTAGAGCCAGGGTCTCACTGTGTTTCCGAGGCTGGTCTCAAACTGCTGGCCTCAAGCAGTCCTCCTGCCTTGGCTTCCCAAATTGCTGGAATTGTAAGCGTGAGCCACCATGTCTGGCCTCTGCTAGCCCTATGTTCTCTAGAGTTCTCTTTCCTTTTGTAGCCAATCGCTCATATGGTGTTCCCTTGTTATATAATTAATTTTTTTTATTTTATTATTGTACCAGTTTAAACTTTGGGTGATTTTTGTCTTTTGATTGGACTCTGACAAATAGAGAACTGATGCTAGGAAGGGTTCTGGGAGAAAGACCCACACAAATGGGATCTGGGCATAGGTTTGGTTATCCAAGGGGCAGCGTTGAGCTCCTTGTCAATGGGAAATGGGATGCTGGTGATTTTTAGGAAGTGACCTCATAATGTTTCAAGCTACCACTTCCTGTTGATTGTGATGAAATGCCAGCTGAGACACATGCCATAGGAGCTAAGTGGCTTCTGTACTTGACCACTATGAAGAATGCTGTGGAGAGGGTCCTTTTGGATGCAGTGGAGCAGGGGCACCTAATCCCTGAATCACAGGCCTGTACTTGGCCACACAGCAGGAGGTGAGCAGCAGGTGGGCGAGCAAAGCTTCATCTGTATTCTATGGCCACTCCCCTCTTTGCCGCCTGATCTCCACCTCATGTCAGGTCAGTGGCAGCATTAGATTCTCATAGGAGCAGGAACCCTATTGTGTAACTGTGCATGCAAGGGTTCTACCTTGCTGTGTCTTTATGAGAATCTGATGCCTGATAATCTGTCACTATCTTTCATCACCCCCAGATGGGACCATCTAGTTGCAGGAAAACAAACAAGTTCAGGACTCCCACTGATTGTACATTATGGTGAGTTATATCATTATTATATACGACAATGTAATAATTACAAAGTACACAATAAATGTAATGTGCTTGAAATATTCCAAAACTGCCCCCTGCCCCCAGCCTGTGGAAAAATTGTCTTCCATAATATTGGTCCCTGGTGCCAAAAAAACTTGGGACAGCTGCACTTGAGCACTCACAGAGAGAGAAACACAAAGCTCAAGTCTTAGCATAAGTCATGGTCTGAGATCCAGAGAGCTTCCGTGATAGCCCAAACACAATTCCTTATTTCTTGTTTCCACAGGGTTGATATTATTGAAAATCAAACTCAAACTTAAATGTGTGAATTGCTGAATTACAGTGACAGTTGAATTCACTGCATCACCAAGGTTCTCATGAGAACCTGGGGGCACTAATAGGTGAAGAATGGGATTCTTTTTCTTTTTGAGACCGTCTCCCTGTGTTGCCCAGGCTGGAGCACAGCGATGTGATCTTGGCTCACTGCAGTCTCAACCTCCCGGGCTTAAGCTAGCCTCCTGCCTCAGCCTCTGGGGTAGCTGAGGTATGACCACAGGTAGGAGCCACCACACCCAACTAATATTTTGTGTTTTGTAGAGATGTGGTTTTACCACATTGCTCAGTCTGATCTTAAACTCCTGGGCTCAAGACATCCACCCACCTTAGACTTCTAAAGTTTTGAGACTATAGGCAGCAGCCACCATGCCTGGCCCTATTTTCTTTGGTACTGGTTTATTTTGAAGGCCTCCAATTGTCTTCCTGACTTCTAGGCTTGCTGACTTCAGCCTATTCACTGAAGCCAGAGGAATTTTTCTACAAGGCAAATTTGGGTCAAAATGGTTCTTGATTAAAACCTGCTGGTGACTGCCCATTGCCTTTAAGATAAAATCAAAGTAATTTGGCCACAGGGCCTGGTAAGAGCTGGCCTTGGTTTACCTTTCCAGTTTTATCCTGCACCACCCTCCCCATATCCCTACCCTCCAGCCACAGGGAATGTCAGTTTCTTTGGGGGACTTTACTGGTGTCCTTCTTCAGGAAACCCTCCCCTACCCTCATCATCACTCTTTGACTCTCATCTTTAGCCTCAGCCGAGGTGTCTCACCCCATTCTCTATGATGCGACAAGAAGCCCCTTGGGAGCATTTCAGGCCCACTCTGTACTTCTGTCATTGTGCTCCTCACAGTCTGGTAAGTGTTGGCATACGATTGCTGTATTAGTCTATTTTGTATTGTTATAAGCATACATATGAGGCTCAGTAGTTTATAAATAAAAAAGGTTGGCCAGGCACAGCAGCTCATGCCTGTAATCCCAGCACTTTGGGAAGCCGAGGCGGGCAGATCACAAGGTCAAGGGATTGAGAGCATCCTGGCCAACATGGTGAAACCCCATCTCTACTAAAACACAAAAATTAGCTGGGCTTGCTTGTGCATGCCTGTAATCGCAGCTACTTAGGAGGCCGAGGCAGGAGAATTACTTGAACCCAGGAGGTGGAGGTTGCAGTAAGCCTACATCGTGCTACTGCACTCCAGCCTGGATGATATAGTGAGACTCCATCTGAAAATAATCATCATCATAACAAACTTAGCTAGGTGTGGTGGTACATGCTTGTAATCCCAACTACTTGGGAGGCAAGATCACTTGAGCCCAGGAGATGGAATCTGCCGTGAGTCATAATCACCTCACTTTACTTCAAGCCTGTGTGACAGAGGTGAACTCTGTATCCAAAAAAGAAAATAGTCATTGGGGAAGAAAGACTAAACAAGCAAAGGTGTCAGGAGAGTCCTGTGAATGTGGGTCATGTCAGCAGAGTGTAGGGACTACTGGGCAGGAGGGACTTGAAGAACGGGGTGGTGGAGACAAGGTCATTCATCCTAAACAGTTTGCCCTGTAGCATGTAGATCAAATATCCCGTGTTGGCTGCTGGTGACTGAACTGGGCTTCCTGTTTCTGTGTTTGGTTTGACCATCACAATGTTGAAAAACCTTTGAAGTGAATACCTTGCCATTTGCTACACTTCCTCCTGGGCTCTGGCATTACTCCAGCCTCCTTTCTTCATGTAGGTTGCCTGATCTGCTGAGACCTGTGTTTGCTCTCCCTGAAGATGGGTGGGTAGGAGGCGATTTAATATATGTGTATATGTATATATATGTGTGTATGTGTGTGTGTGTATGCATATATATGTGTGTATATATATGTATGTATATATATATGTATGTATATATGTGTGTGTGTATATATATATATGTGTGTGTTTGTGTGTGTATATATATATATAAAAGTAAATAGACTGGGTGTGGTGGCTAAAGCCTATAATTCCAGCACTTTGTGGGGCCAAGGCAGGAGGATTAGTTTGATCTAGGAGTTCAAGACCAGCCTAGGCCACATAGTGGCCTTCTCTACAAAAAATTTAAAAAATTAGGCATGGTGGCATGCACCTGTAATCCCAGCTACTTGGGAGGCTGAAGTGGGAGGATCGCTTGAGCCCAGGAGTTGAAAGCTGCAGTGAGCTGTGATCTCACCACTGTGCTCCAGTCTTGGTAACAGAGAGAGACCCAATCTCAGAAGAAACAAAAGAGAGAGAGAGATAAATAGATCCAGCACTAGTGGGAGTATACTTTTGAGTGCTCTTTAGGACTTAATTATATTTTAATATTTTTTTCTTCCTTAAATTTTTTATATTCTAGCAAACCATTTTTTCCACAAGGAGAAAGAAATGTCATCCAAAGAGCCCTAGGAGCAAGGGCAGACTCAGAAAGTCAGAAGCACTGTAGTCATTTTGAGCAGCTTCTATCTTCAGACTGCTAAGCTGGCAGTGCCAGGCTGGGTCCATTTTTCTCGTCTTTAATTTCTTAAACTGAAAGAGTCCTGCTAGAATCTGAAGTCAGATCTGTAGGTCAGCATTGAGTCAGCAGTTTGCTATGTTGTGAGGTCTTACCCCAGGAACTACAGAATACAAAATGCAAGAGAAAGCTGGAATAGAGCATCTCTCGGGGAAATGAGAGCCAGAGATACGGCAGTGCCCCATGGAGACAGCCAGCTGTTATTTGGCAGTGCCTTGTGGAAAGGCTGTACTTTGGTTAGATCTTTACAATCTGGAATGTGACCTTTAATATTATTAGTCCACAAACTCCAGTTTCTCATTTTTGCGGCATAGGTCAGTGTCGTAGGGAGTGGTTCATCTTAGCAGAATTTCCTGGTTTTCATGGCAGGTGTTCCATTTGTTAATTGACAAAGGAGGCATATTTCTCCTCTGTCCATAAGAGAAGATTTATGTCCTTTCCCTCGGGACTCCCTTGAAGGTTCTTGGGAAACTAAGCAGAGGATGAGGAAAGGCTGTGAACACGCTTGCTGATCCCTTCCTGTCCTACAAAAGAGCACACCTCTTCTGTAACTGAAAGACCCTTTTCATTACTGGAAAGGCTGGACAGACTGAGGGGTGTGTGTGTGTAGACACGGTCTCACTCTGTCACCCAGGCTGGAGTGTAGTGGTGAGATCATTGCTCACAGCAGCTTCCACTTCCTGAGTTCACCTCTTCTCCCACTTAAGCCTCCAGCGTAGCTAGGACTATAGGAATGTGCTGCCATGCCCGGCTCATTTTTTAATTTTTTTTTTTTTTTTGTAGAGATGAGGTTTCACTGTGTTGCCGAGGCTGGTCTTAAAACTCTTGGCCTCACGGGATCCTCCTGTATTAGTCTCCCAGTGGGCTGGGATTATAGATATGAGGTACCTCACCTGACCTGTGATGAGTTTTTGACAATGTCATTGCTTTTTTACAGAAGCACCTAAGCTGAAGAGTCCCTTGAGAACAAGTACTATCCTGTGGTTTCATAAACTTTCTTCCATTTGTGGTTCTTGACAAGTTAAATTTAAAGTGCATCTTATCAAGATGGATAAACCCAAGTTTTCCAGAGCTGGAATATAGAAAATGGATGGACATATAAGTCCCACTCACCCATAGCCAAGGCATGGAGACCTGAACACACCTGGGCCCTAGACATCACCTTTCATTGTGAGTAGCTCTGAGATAACACTTCTGGTTGGTAAGTGCCCACTGGCAATAGTTTATGTAACAGCAAGTGAAGGAATCAAGAGTCAACAAAACATTTTCTGTCCCAATTCTAGCATTAATTTGATTAGATAATTATTCTATGAAGAATTTTCATATGCCACAGTTCTGATCAACATCTCAAGTGAACTGAAAAATTATATGTAAAAGTCAACCTTCTTTCTCACTCTGTTGCCGAGACTGGAGTGCACTGGTGCAATTACGGCTCACTGCAGCCTCAACCTCCTGGGCGAAAGCAATCCTTCCTCAGCCTCACAAGTAGCTGGGACTACAGATGCTTGCATGGATTTTGGTATACATGGATATTGGGCAGCTGGAACCAATCTCCCCATATACCAAGGGACAAATTGTATCTGTTTTGTTTTGTTTGGTTTTTGAGACAGTCTTGCTCTGTTGCCTAGGCTGGAGTGCAGTGGCACAATCTCAGCTCACTGCAACCTCCACCTCCCAGGGTTAAGAGTAGGCTAAGATTACAGGTACCTGCTATTATGCTGAGCTAATTTTTGTATTTTTGTAGAGACAGGGTTTTATTATGTTGGCCAGAACATAATGGTCTTGAACTCCTGCCTTCAGGTGATCTACCTGGCCTCAACCTCCCGAAGTGCTGGAATTACAGCTGTGAGTCACTGTGCTGGGACTTTTTTCTTTTTGAGATGGAGCTTTGCTCTTTTCTCCCGGGCTGGAGAGCAATGGTGCACTCTCAGGTCACCACAACCTCCACCTCCCAGGTTCAAGTGATTCTCCTGCCTCAGCTTCCTGAGTAGCTAGGATTACAGGCACCACCGCACCTGACTAATTTTGTATTTTGTAGTAGAGATGGGGTTTCTCCATGTTGGTCAGGCCAGTCTTCAACCCCTGACCTCAGGTGATCCACCTGCCTTGACCTCCCAAAATGCTGGGATTACACGTGTGAGCCACCGCACACAGCCTCTATCTGTTTTTACAACTATGCTGTTAAATACATGATGTTCCAAGACAGTGGTAAATTTTTAATGACAATTTTTAATTGAGTGGAATGACCATAAAAATAATAAAAGTAGCAGCTAATATTTACTGAGCTGTTACTAGGTGCCTATAAATACCATAGATTTTTAAATTCCCCATAATTCTTCCTTATTTGCCTAACCGCTCTGTCTTAAATTACTCGTGCTTGCTTCAGTAGCACATATCCTAAAGTTGGAACAATAGAGAGATTGGCATGGCCTCTGTGCAAGAATGACGTGCAGATTTGTGAAGTGTTCCATATGTTTTTAAAACAGAAAAATATTACTCCTAGATTTTCACTGTTTGTGCAATGACCTTTTGTTGAGGTTGAATTGTATCCGAAGATGATATTTCCAGAAATGAGATTACTGTGAGTCACAGGACGTTAGCATTCTTATTATACTTGATGTAAACTGCCGAGCTTTCAGGCATGGTGGCTGTCGGCCTATAATTCCAGCACTTTGGGAGGCTGAGGTAGGAGGATCGTTTGAGGCCAGGAGTTGGAGGAGGCAGTACAGTGAGTCACTGTATTGTATTTTAAAAATTTCCAAGCTTTACCCTGGTGGAAGGCTTGTATACAATTTAAACATCACTAATAGTAAAAGAAAATGCCCATTTCACTGCACCTTTGCTGGCACAGGGTACAATAACAAGTTATTTATTGTTTGCTTATTCTTAGTAAATAAAACACCTCGTTAATACTTTATTTTTGTTACATTTTAATATATATTTTCTTATATTAGCTTATTAGCTTTCTTTTTCTTTCTTTCTTTCTTTTTCAGATGAAGTTTCACTCTTGTTGCCTAGGCTGGAGTGCAACGGCACAATCTCTGCTGACTGCAACCTTTTTTTCTTGGATTCAAGCCATTCTCTTGCCTCAGTCTGCAGAAGAGCTGGAATTACAGGCATGTGCCACCATACCTGGCTAAGTATTTTCAGTAGAGACAGGGTTTTTCCATGTTTGTCAGGCTGGTCTCGGACTCCGTACCTCGTGATCCAACTGACTCAGCCTCCCAAAATGCTGGGATTAGAGGTGTGAGCTACTGTGCCCAGCTAGCTTTCTTTTTTGCTCCCCCTCCTTTTTTTGGAGACCAAGTCTCACTCTGTAGCCCAGGCTTGAGTATGGGGGTGCAGTCTCGACTCACCACAGCCTTGACCTCCTGGGCTCAGGCGATCCTTCCACCTCAGTAACTGGGACTATAGGCACATGCCACCATGTCTGGCTAATTTTTTTGATTTTTAATAGAGGCGAGGTCTTGCTATGTTTCCCAGTCTGGTCTGGAATTCCTGGCCTCAAGCAATTCTCTGACTGCCCCCTTCCAAAGTGCTGCTACTATAAGCATCAGCCACCAAGGTTGGGCTGTCCATGTCTTTTCTGTTTATTTGTAGAGTTAACATATCTTTTACTAATTAGATGATCTATATATTTAATCTTTTATTAAAGTATAAAAATAGTAAATACTTTTAAATGAAGAAGTGAAAAATTTCCTTTACTCTTCAGACCCATAATCTTATCTCAGGAAATAATTGGCCATATTCTTCAAATGCATATGGGCTGATTGAATATCAATTCTCATTTTCATATTTCGTGGACATCTGTGTCAATTTCTATTGATGTATCTGAATCCTCTTTATGGTTGGCTAATGTTTTATTATATGGATATATCACAGTTGACCAGTCAGCCTCTATAGCCATTTAGGCTCCTTCTAATATTTGCTTTGAGCTCCTTATGTCATTAAAAATTAACCTCAGCAGGTGTGGCAGCTCACACCTGTAATCCCAGCACTTTGGAAGGCTGAGGTGGGAGAACTGCTTGAGGGAAAAGGATCACCACCGGCCTCGTCGACATAGCAGCACATTGTCTCTAATAAAAATTAAAGATAACGTGAGCTGGACATTGCGGTCCACACCTGTAATCCCAGCTACTGGGGAGTCTGAGACTGGAGGATCACTTGAGCCTAGGAGGTCGAGGCTGCAGTAAGCTGTGATCACACCACTGCACTCCAGCTTTGGTAACAGTAAGAATGTGTTTCTTAAATAAAGTAAAAATTAGGTTGGAAGATTGCTGGAGTTCTGGAGGTTGAGGCTGCAATGAGCTGTGATTGTACCACTGCGGTCCAGCCTAGGGAATAGAGCAACATTGTTTCTCAAAAAAGTAAAATAGAATAAAAATTAACCCTTTAGCATATTTCCCAGTAACACCTTCCCTCTTACGTTTTTCCTAGAAGCTTTTGAATTTAGTTTACTTTTCACATATCTTTTAAAAACTTTTATGGGATTGCCTGATTTATTTTTAAAGAATGTCTTTTTGTCACTTCCAGCTGGATCTACCATGAAAGACATCAGAGTTCAGGAGGAGACTGGGCATCATGTTATTCAGGTACAAAAAGACTTGGACAATAACTCAAAAATGATCAAACAATAGTGCATGCGTCAAGTGCAATGGGAAGCTCTTCTGGAGAGTAGGAGAAGCTTCCAGATAAGGTGACAGTGAAACTGGCTGTTGAAAGATGAGGAAGAGCTGTGTGAGAGTAGGGAGCGAAGGGGGATGTGGAGGGATGGGGAATGGTCAGGGCAACCAGCACTTTAAAGACCTGGACAATTAAGATGGTGCATTTGGTTCAGGGAATGGGGAATTAAGTGTGGCAGGAATGCTTTGGAGAGACAGTAATTTGCTTGTATGGAATTTTGCCTGAGAGACCTCACTACAGTTTCTAATCTGGTGATGTTATCATCCATCACTGTCCCTGTCAGATAGTTTGGAATAGGTGTGATGGTCACAGTAACATCAAGCATAATCGTTCATGAATTCTCACAAAACCACGGGCAGGTACCAGTTATCCCCATTTCCTGAATGAGGTGATACAGACTTAGGGATAATGAGTGATTTGCCCAAGCTCACATGGATATTAAGCTGAGTCAGATGTAGGGACTGGTTTGACTTTAATGCTTGCTCTTTTCGTGAGCACCATGTATTGCTTCTCCTATGCGGTTAGGCAGGTAGGTGAAAGAAAAGCCCGTGTTTCTCTCGTCACACACTTTGACTGACTGACTGTGTGTGTGGAGCTTATACACCAAATTCTCTAGTGTTCTGGATATTAACTTGGTATCCCACAATGTTATTCTGACACTACCTGGAGCTGGCGCAGAACCTGCAGGTTAGGCGTTTAGTCCCATGAGACTGCCCTCACTTCAGATGCCAATGGCAAGTATTAGGTTTTCACCTGTACTTCTGACCAACCTATTACAAATCAGGGGTTCTCATGACCCCCTTCTTTTATTTAATCATCTGCTGGAACAGCTTATAGAACTCAGAAGAACAGTTTATTTTCTTTTTCTCTGAGAGACAGGGTCTCATTTTGTTGCCCAGGCTGGTGTGCAGTGTTGCAGTCATAGCTCACTGCAGCCTCAACTGCCTGGGCCCAAGTGGTCCTCCTTCCTTCCTAGTAGCTGAGACTGCAGCCTGCACCACCACATCTGGCTAATTTATTTATTTATTTTTTTAGCGATGGGATCTTTTGTTGCCCAGGCTGGCCACAAATTCCTGGGCCCAAGTGATCTTCGCACCTCAGTCACTTAAAGTGCTGGGATTACAGATGTGAGCCACCACGTCTGGTGAGTTAATAGCCTATTTTTAATTCACTGTAAAGGATATGTCTCAGAAACAGCCAGTGAAAGAGATGTGTATGCTGGATGCAGTGGCTCATGCCTGTGATCCCAGCACTTCTGGAGGTTTTGTTGGCAGGATCGCTTAAACGCAGGAGTCTGAGTTCAGCCTGGGAAACATGGTGAAACCCTCTCTCTATAAAAAATACAAAAATTAGCTGGGCATGTTGATATGCACCTGTAATCCCAGCTACTCAGGAGGCTGAGGCAGGAGAATCACTTGAACCCAGTATGCAGAGGTTGCAGTAAGCTGAGATCACGCTACTGCACTTTAGCCTAAGCTGCTGAGCAAGATTTTTTTCTCAAAAAATAAATGAAAATAAATAAATAACTAGGTGTGGTGGTGTGCACCTGTTGTTCCAGCTACTAGGAAAGCTGAGGTGAGGATGCATTGAGCTGGGGACTGGGGAAACTTAGGTTGTGGTGAGCTGAAATTGTGCCACTGCACTCTAGCCTGGACAAAAGAGCCAGACCCTGTCTTTAAAAAAAAGAAAGAGGAGAAAGAAAGGAAGGAAAGGGAGAAAGAAATGAAAGAAAGATGGATGCCCAGGGGAAGGTAAGTGGGAGGTGCCCAGAGCTTCCATGCCCTCTGTTCAACATGCCGCCCTCCCAGCACCTCCTGTATTCAGCAACCAGAAGCTCTGCAACCCTGTTGCTCAGGGTGTTTACAGAGGCTCTGTTATGCAAGCCTGATTGATAAACTCTTTGGCCATTGGTAATTAAGTCAATCTTCAGCCACTCTCACCTCCTGGAGTTCAGCAGTTGAGGCTAAAAGTTCTAAGCCTCTAATCATGTGGTTGCTTTCTCTGGCAATCAGCCCTCCTCCTGAAGAAATCCAGGAGCATGCAGCCACCCAGTCATCTCAACCACATCCCCAAATGCATTCTTAGCATGCTGGAGATCCCAAAGTTCTTAGAGTCTCGTGTGTTAGAAAGCTGGGACCAAGACCAAATATTAAAAGTAAAGATGCTCCTATCACCTCTATCACTGAGGTCTTTATAAGCATTCAAAGCTCTGTGCCAGGAACCAGGGAGAGAGAGCAAATATATATTTATTTTCTTTTTTTTTTTGAGACAGACTCTCCCTGTGTCATCCAGGCTGGAGCACAGTAATATGATCATAGCTCATGATAGCTTTGACCTCCTGAGCTCAAGTGATCTTCCCACCTCAGACTTCAGAGTAGCTGGGACTACACATGCATGTCACCCATGCCGAGCTCATTTCTGTAGAGACGAGATTTAGTTATGTTGCCCAGGCTGATCTCAAACTCCTGGGCTAAAGCGTTATTTCACCTCAGCCTCTCAAGTAGCTGGGACTGCAGGTGCACACCACCATGTCTGGCTAATATTGATTTTTATACTTTTGTAGAGGTGGGATCTCACTATGTTGTCCAGGCTGGTTTCAAACTCCAGGCCTTAAATGTTCCTCCTGCCTTGACTTCCCAAAGTGTTGGGGTTATGGGTGGGATCCACCATGCCCAGCAGTCACAAAGATCCTTATAAAAGAAAGAGGTTAGAAGAGTGAGAATTGGAGCAGGAGATGTGTTGGTGGAAGCAGAGTTAGAGAGGGAGATTTGCAGATGTTTCACTTCTGGCTTTGAAGATGGAGTTAAGGGCCACGATCCAAGAAATGGGAGTGGCTTCTAGAAGCTGGAAAAGCCAAGGGAACATTTTAGAGCCTCCAGATGGAATGCAGCCCTCCTGACACCTTAACTTTAGCCTTAATAGACCTAATTTGGGCTTCTGATTCCTAGAAGTGTAAGTTGGTAGATTTGTGGTGTTTTAAGGGACTAATGTAGGGTAGTTTCTGGCAGCAGCAAGAGGAAATAAACCTGACGCCAAGCATCGTGGGTGATGTTGGTAATCCCAGCACTTTGGGAATCCCGGCAGGAGGATCACTTGAGGCCAGGAGTCCAAGATCAGTCTGGGCAACATAGTGAGACCCTGTCTCTACAAAAAATTAAATTGACTGGGTGTGGTGGCTCACTCCTGTAATCCTAACACTTTGGGAGGCCGAGGATCACCTGAGGTCATGAGTTTGAGACCAGCCTGGTCAACATGGCAAACCCCCATCTCTACTAAAAATACAAAAATCAGCCAGGCATAGAGGCACACACCTGTGATCCCAGCTGCTTGGGGGGCTGAGGCTGAAGAATCACTTGAACCTGGGAGGTGGAGGTTGCAGTGAGCTGGGATTGCACCATTGCACTCCAGCTTGGGCAAGAAGAGTGAAACTCCATTTCAAAATAAAACAAATTAGCCAGGCATGATGGCATGCACCTATCGTTCCAGCTACTAGGGAGGCTTGAGGTGGGAGGATCAGTTGAGCCTAGGAATTCGAGGTTGCAGTGAGCTGTGATTGCAGCACTCCGCTCCAGCCTTGGTGATAGAGTGAGATCTTGTTTAAAAAAAAAAAAAAAAATGAACACAGTGGGAGTGGGGACAGATGGCAATGTTAAATAGAAAGGTCAGGGGTGGCCTCCTAAGTGAAAATTGAGCAAAGACTTGGAGGGGAAGGAGCTGGCCGAGGTGCTGAAGGAGGAGCATTGTTTGCAGAAACAACAGAAGAAAGTGTCTGAGGCTCTGGAAGGAGGTCAGTGGAGGAGGAGATGGGGAGAGAATTAGGGGAGGAGGCCATGGAGTTGCTGGGTGGGGATCAGTATAGATCGTGTAAGCCCTGGGAGGTTATTGCTTGGGGTTTGGCTTTTACTATGAGATGGGAACTGTGGGAGGGTTCTGAGCAGAGAGGCGACATGATCTGTCTCCTGATGTAAAAGCATTCTCTGGCTGCTGAGTTGAGAAAGACTGGGAAGATTTGGGTGGAAGCATGGGGGTCAAACTGTGGTAACATCCAGGTGGAAGATGATAGTGGTCCTGACCAGGGTCATGGTGGTGGTTAGAGATAGTCAGAGGAGAGAAGTAGGGGAGGAGTCCAGGGAGTTGCTAGGTGGGGATCTTCAGTACATGGTAAAGACAGTGAACAGGATTTCCTGACAGACTGGATGTGGGGTGTGAGAGAAGGCAGGGGTCGAGGTTGAGTTTGTTTCTTACTGAATTATTAAGTAATTTTTAAAACTCTACTGCCTTTCCCAGTGTTACCAAATATGGGATGCTAGATTAAAGAAATCTCTTCAGGTGCAGTGCAGTGGCTCACGTCTGTAGTCCCAGATGTTTGGGAAGCAGAGATGGGAGTATCTTTTAAGGGCAGAAGTTCAAGACCAGCCTGGGCAACATAGCAAGACCTCCTCTCTACAAAAATATTTTTCAAAATTTAATAAAATAAATGTAGCTAGGCATGGTGATGTGTACTTGTAGTCTCAGCTACTCAGGAGGCTGAGGTGGGCAGATCTCTTGAGGTCAGGAGTTTGAGGCCAGCTTGGGCAACATAGCAGGACTCCGCACTCTACAAAAAAAATAAGAAATTAGCCAGGTATGGTGGCACTCAACTGTAGTACCAGCACTGGGGAGCTGAGGCAGGAAGATGGCTTGAGCCCAGGACATTGAGGCTGCAGTGAGCTATAAGTGCAAGCTGCACTCCAGCCTGGGTGGCAAAGCAGGACCTTGCCTCACAATACAAATAAAGTAATGAAATCTCAAGTCAGAGCCTTTTGGCTCTGCAGCCCTTGCAACCCTGGAGCCATGCCGTGGGGTTTTTATCACTGGGAATGAGGAGACCCCTGCCCAGTGTTGTTGCCTGACTAATCAGTGTTTTAAAAAATATGTTAATCGGGCCGGGTGCAGTGACTTACGCCTGCATTCCCAACACTTTGGGAGAATGAGGTGGGTAGATTACCTGAAGTCAAGAGTTCAAGACCAGCTTTGCCAACATGGCAAAACCTTATCTCTACTAAAAAACAAAGTTTACTTTTGGAGGCCGAGGCAGATGGATCACAAGGTCAAGATATCGAGACCATCGTGGTCGACAAGGTGAAACCCCGTCTCTACTAAAAATACAAAAAATTACCTGGGCATGGTGGCACGTGCCTGTAATCCCAGCTGCTCAGGAGGCTGAGGCAGGAGAATTGCCTGAACCCAGGAGGCGGAGGTTGCGGTGAGCCGAGAACGCGCCATTGCACTCCAGCCTGGGTAACAAGAGCAAAACTCCGTCAAAAAAAAAAAAAAAAAAAAAAAATACAAGACAAAAGAACAAAGATTAGCCAGGCATGGTGGCAGGTGCCTGTAATCCAAGCTACTTCAGAGGCTGAGACAGGAGAATCCTTTGAACGGGGAGGTGGGGCAGAGATTGCAGTGAACCGAGATTACAAGCTTCATTCCAGCCTTGGGGAAAGAGCGAGACTCTGTCTCAAAGAAACAAAAGGATTACTTATATTACTACTTAATAATTTTATTATTGTTTAATATGGAGTTTTGCTCTTGTTACCTAGGCTAGAGTGCAATGGCATGATCTTGACTCACTGCAAACTCTGCCTCCCGGGTGTAAGCAGTTCTCCTGCCTCAGTCTCTCAAGCAGCTGGGATTACAGGTGCCTGCCACCACACCTGGCTAATTTTGTATTTCTTAGTAGAGACAGGGTTTCAGCATGTTGGAGGGCTAGTCTCAAACTCTTGACCTCAGGTGATCCACCCACCTCGGCCTCCCAAAATGCTGGGGTTATAGGCATGAGCCATCTCACCCAACCAGTTTTATTATTAATAGGTAACAAGTAATAAATACTTTTAAATGTTTGTTTTGTATTAGTTATGTTAACATGTAACGTATTTATTATTAATATGTAATGAATAAAAATATTTTTAAAAGTTTGTTTTATTTTTTAACTTTAATGTAGTTATTTGTGCAAAGAAAAAGTCTTAGAAATCTTACATAAAGTTAAAAAATGTAACGCGATGCTAGACCCCAAAAGATTTAGAAGCATTACTCTGAGAACTTCCAGTTTAAAAATATTCAGAGTAAGCCACATACAACTTGCTACGTGATCTATTTTGTTTTAGGATATGGGGTCTCACTCTGTCACCTAGGCTGGGGTGCAGTGGTGCAATCACAGGTCACTGCAGGCTTGCACTCCTGAGCTAAGGATCCTCCTGCCTCAGCCTCCTCAGTAGCTATACATGATGACACCTGGTTAATTTTTAAATGTTTTCATACACATTGGATCTCACTTTGTTGGTCAGGCTGGTGTCAAACTCCTGGCCTCTAGTGACTTTTCCACCCCTGCCTCCCATCCTATAGGCATGATCCACCACAAGGAGCACTTGTTCAATTTTCTAAAAAAATAAAAATTTCTAAAGTAAGCTTGTGGCAGGAAGATAAAAGTAAAAAACAGAAGAATACATTCTAATGATTTATTCCCACATATTCTTTGGAAAGCAAGGACTTTTAGTAGACACATTGTTTACAAAGGCAAAGAAACAATGTTTTACAGGTACTTCAACACACACTGTAATGTTCTTACTTGTCTGACATGGGTTCTTTTTTGTATTTTTAGTAGAGACGGGGTTTCACCATGTTGACCAGGATGGTCTCGATCTCCTGACCTCGTGATCCAACTGCCTCAGGTCAAGCTCTTCAGGCCCGCCTTGAGCCTTCCGATGACCTGGACAGGCCCAGCTCTTTCCTCCCAGTGGCCTCTGCAGGCCTAGCTTTTGCCTCACAGGTATTCCTTGAACCGGTTTCTACTTGCCTCCTGGTAGCCTTGACAAGCCCAGGTGTTGCCTCACTCTGACCTCATTAGGACCAGCTCACAGTGGCCTCTCCAGACCCAGCGTCTGTCCCGTGACAGGCTGTCCAGGCCAAACCTTCTTCTAGTCACCCTCTTCAGGCACAGCTTCTGTCTCACACTGGACTCTTTAGGTACAGCTCATGCCTTTCGGCGGCCTCTTGAGGCCCAGTTCCTGCATCTCTGTGGCCTCTCCGGACTGACAGATTTCTCAAATCTGCCATTCCAGGTCCAACTCCTGCCTCCAGTCGGCCCCAATAGGCTTAAACTCTGCCTCACAGCACACACCCCAGGCCAAGCGTGTGCCTCACCACAGTGCCCCCAGGCCAAGCTCCTGCCTTTCAGCAGCATCTGCAGGCCCAGCTAATGCCTCCCAATGGCCTGTCTAGGTGAAGCTCATGCATCACAACGGCCATTCTGATCAAGCTTTTACTTTTTGGCAGTGTCTCCAGGCCCAGAACTTCCTTTTGATGTCCAGCTCTTCCTCCCAGTTGCATCTCCAGGACCAACTCCTGCCTGACACCCTCCTTTGGATCAGCTCCTACACAGCTCTTGGTGGCCTTTGTAGGCCAAAAACTTTCTCAACTCAAGTTCCCCAGCAGAAACTTCTGAGGAACAATGGCTTAAACAGGCATAGCTACTGGATGACAATAGACTCTCCAGGACCAACTCTTACCTCATGAAGGTTTCCCTGGCAAAGCTCTTGCCGGCCTCCCAGCAGCCTTGAGAGGCCCAGCTGCTGCCTGACACTGACTTCATTAGGCCAAGCTCCTACCCACTAGGTGTTCTCTCCAGGCTCAAAACTTCCTCATGTGGGCCCCTTCTGGGCCAGCTCCTGCCTCCCAATGGCCCCCTTGGACCCCGTCGGCCTCCCCAGGAGACCCAGCCTCTGATCACTCCTGGCGGCATCCTCAGGCTTGGCTCCTACTCCTGGCCATGTCTACAGGCCCATGTCCTGCCTCCCGACAGCCTCTTTTGACTCGGCTCCTGACCAGCTCCCGGTGGCCTGGACAGGCCGAGCTACCACCTGACAATATCCTCTCCGGGGCCAGATCTGGCATCCCTGCAGCCTCCTTATGACGAGCTGCTACCTGCCAACGGCTTCCCCAGGCCAAGATCCTGACTGCCTTCCTGCCTTCCTGCCTGCATCCTGCCTCCACAGGCCCACTACCTCCCTCACAGTGGCCATTGGGGCCCAGCCCGTGCCTGTGGCAAACCTCTCCGGACCCAGCTCTCACCTCACGCTGGCCTCGGTCTAGGCCCAGGTCCTCCCTCGCAGCGGCCTTCCTCAGCCCAGCTCACCTATCATCGTCTCTCCCAGGCCAGCTCCTGACTCTTGGCGGCCTGTCCAGGCCCGAAGGTTCCTCTCCAGGCCCGGCCCCCATAGGCCCGGCATCTGCCTGCACCAGGCCCCTCCGGGCCCAGACTCCACCTTTCAGTGGACCCTCCAGGCCCAGCTCATGGCATCACCGTGGCCTCTGCTCAGGCTCAGCTCCTGCCTCTGTGACAGCCTGTATCCACAGGCCCCGCCCCCAGCCTCCCCATGGCCCCATCGGGTCAAGCCGGTGCATCCCGGTGGTCCTCCTGGGGCCAGCATTGGCCTGCTGACTTCCTCTCTGGGCCCAGGACGTCTTCAGGTAGGCGCCTCAGGGCCCAGCTCCACCTCTCGGCGGCTATGGGCCCAACTTCCAAATTTGCCTCGCAACAACCTCTGTGGACTCGACTCCTGTCCAGCTCCTGACAGCCTTTGTAGGCCCGAAAGCTCAGACTTGACTCAGGCTCTCCAGGCCCAGCTGGCTCATGCCTCACGAGTGGCCTCCCCAGGCTCGGCTCGTGCCCTCCGAGGGCATCTCTAGGCCCCAGACGTTCCCGAGTCGGCTTCTGCAGGCCTGGCTGCTGCTGCCTCCTCCCCCTGGCCTCGGAAGGCACAAGCATTGGGTCCTGAAGTCGGCCTCTCCAGGCCCAGCTCCTACTCTCCTGGCGTCTCCTTCCCATTGGTGGCAAACATCCTCACATGGGTGCCTCCAGGGCCAGCTGCTGCCTCCCAACGGCCCCCTGGGGCCCAGCTTCTGTCTCCCCTCAGCCTCTCCGGGAGGTCCAGCCTATGTCTTCCTCCTGGCGGCCTCCCCAGGCCCGGATCCTCCTCCTGGCCTCGTCTACTGGACCACATCCTGCCTCCCGATAGCTGCTTTTCGCTCGGCTCCTGATCAGCTTCCAGTGGCCTTTCTTCTGTAGGCCCGAAGCTTTCTCAAGTGGGGCTTTCCCGGCCTCCGTTCTGCCTCCTGGTGGCCTTGACAGGCCCTGCTACCACCTGACATTGGCCCCTCTGGGCCCAGCTCTGGACTCTCCGCAGCCTCCCCAGCACCAGCTGCTGCCTGCTGGTGGCTTCCCCAGACCAAGATCGTGCCTGCCTGCATTCTGGCTGCATCCACAGGCCCAGCACCTCCCTCACAGTGGCCCATTGGGGCCCAGCTCGTGCCTGTGGCAAACCTCTTTGGACCCAGCTCTTGCCTCACTCTTGGCTTGAGTCTAGGCCCAGGCGCTCCCTCGCAGGGGTCTTCCTCAGCCCAGCTCGTCTATCATGGACTCTTTGAGGCCAGCTCCTGCCTCCCGGCTTCCCCAGGCCCAGCTCCTGCCTGCGCCAGGCCCATACTGGGCCCAGCCTCTGCCTTTCAGTGGACCCTCTGTGGCTTGGCTCCTCCCCAGCTCCTGGAGGCCTTTGTAGGCCCAAAAGCTCAGGCCCTCGACTCAGGCTCTCCAGGACTACCCAGCTCATGCCTCACACTGGCCTCTCCAGGCTCAGCTTCTGCCCACCCAGTGTTCCTATAGGCCCCAGATGTCCCAGAGTCGGCTTCTCCAGGCCCGGTTTCGGACTCCTCCTATTGGCTTCTGCAGGCCCAAGCATTGGGTTCTCAATTCGGCCTCTGCAGGCCCAGCTCCAGTTCTCCTGGTGTCTCCTCCCCATGGGTGCAAACGTCGTCATGTGGGTTCTTCTAGGGCCAGCTCATGCCTCCCAAAGGCCCCCTGGGCTTAGCTCCTGCCTCCCATCAGCCTCTCCTGAAGGCCCAGCATCTGCCTCTGTACTGGTGGCCTCTCAAGGCCTGGATCCTCCTCCTGGCCACGTCTACGGGCCTAAGTTTTGCCCCCGGCAGCCTCTTTTTTTTTTTTTTTTTTTTTTAAGAGATGGAGTTTTGCTCTTGTTTCCCAGGCGCAGGTACAATGACGTGATCTCAGCTCACCTCAACCTCCGCCTTTTGGGTTTAGGCAATTCTCCTTCCTCAGCCTCCTGAGTAGCTGGAGTTACAGGCACACGCCACCATACCCAGCTAATTTCTTTTTCTTTTTGTTTTGAGACAGTTTCACTCTTGTTACCCAGGCTGGAGTAGAATGGTGCGATCTTGGCTCACCGCAACCTCTGCCTCCTGGGTTCAGGCAATTCTCCTGCCTCGGCCTCCTGAGTCGCTGGGATTACAGGCACACGCCACCGTGCCCAGCTAATTTTATTATTATTTTTTTTGAGATGGAGTTTTGCTCTTGTTGCCCAGGCTGGAGTGCAATGGCACGATCTCGGCTCACAGCAACCTCTGCCACCTGGGTTCAGGCAGTTCTTTTGCCTCAGCCTGCTGAGTAACTGTGATTACAGGTACGCACCACCATGGCCAACTAATTGTTTTTTTGTTTTTGAGACGGAGTTTTGCTCTTGTTTCCCAGGCTGGAGTGCAATGGCATGATCTCAGCTCACTGCAACCTCTCCCTCCTGGGTTCAGGCAATTCTCCTGCCTCAGCCTGCTGAGTAGCTGGGATGACAGGCACAAACCACCATGCCCAGCTAATTTTTTGTATTTTTAGTAGAGACGGGGTTTCACCATGTTGACCAGGATGGTCTCGATCTCCTTGACCTCGTGATGCACCTGCCTTGGCCTCCCAACGTGTTGGGATTACAGGCGTGAGCTACTGTGCCTGGTCCCCAGCAGCGTCTTTTGGCTTGGCTCCTGGCCAGCACCCGGAGTCGTTTTGTCTGTCGGCCCAAAGCTTCCTCAGTGTCCCTTCTGTTGAGGCCACCGGGAGGCAGAAGGGACGCCCAGAAGGCCCCACCTGAGGAAGCTTTGGGCCGACAGACGAAAGGCCTCTGGGAGCTGGCCAGTAGTCAAGCCGAAAGAGGCTGCCAGGGGCAAAACTTGGACCTGTAGACGTGGCCAGGAGGAGGTGCCAGGCCTGGTGTGGCTGCCAGTAGGGAGGCAGAGGCTGGGGCTCCTGGAGAGGCCACCTGATGGGAATCAGGACCTGGGTTCCAGGGGCCACTGGGATGCCAGAGCTGGCCCCGGAGGGGGCCATGTGATGATGTATTGTGCCCACGTTGGGGGGTGCCGCCGGGAGGGCAGGAGCTGGACCTGCAGACGTGGACGTCATGACCCGGTGCTTGGGTCTCCCGAGGCCAGCAGGAGGACAAAGCAGGACTGGGCCTCAGGGCTGAGCTCTGGAGTCCCCCCAGCCTCCCCAGCCGTTGGGGGGTGCCGCCGGAAGGGCAGGAGCTGGACCTGCAGATGCGGACGTCATGACCTGGTGCTTGGGCCTCCCAAGGCCTGGCTTTTGCCTGTGCTAGGCCCCTCCGGGCCCAGCCTCTGCCTCTCAGTGGACCCTCCAGACCCAGCTTGTGGCCTCATCATGGCCTCTCCTCAGCCCAGCTCCTGTCTCTGTGGCAGCCTGTCTTCACAGGCCCAGCTTGTAGCCTCCCAGTGGCCCCAGGCGACCCTTCCATGCCCAGCGTTGGCCTTCTGGCATCCTCTCCTTGTCCAGAGTGTCTTCAGGTCAGCCTCTTGGGGCCCAGCCCCTCCTTCTGGTGGCTTCTAAGGGCCAACCTTCCATTCTCGCCTTGCAGCAACCTTTGTGGACTGGGCTCCTCCCCAGCTCCCAGAGGCCTTTGTAGGCCCGAAAGCTCAGGCCCGTGACTCAGGCTCTCAAGACTACCCAGCTCATGCCTCACGCTGGCCTCTCCAGGCTCAGTTTCTGCCCAGCCAGGGTTCCTACAGGTTCCAGATTTCCCAGAGTCGGCTTCTCCAGGCCCGGGTCCGGACTCCTCCTATTGGCTTCTGCAGGCCCAAGCATTGGGTTCTCAATTCGGCCTCTCCAGGCCCAGCTCCAGTTCTCCTGGCATCTCCTCCCCATGGGTGCAAAACATTGTCACATGGGCCCTTCTAGGGCCAGCTCATGCTTCCCAAAGGCTCCCTGGGCTTAGCTCCTGCCTCCCATCAGCCTCTCCTGGAGCCCCGTCCTCTGCCTCCATACTGGCGGCCTCTCCAGGCCTGGATCCTCCTCTTGGCCATGTCTACGGGCCCAAGTTTTGCCCCTGGCAGCCTCTTTTTTTTTTTTTTTGAGATGGAGTTTTTCTCTTGTTACCCAGGCGTGAGTGCAATGACCTGATCTGGGCTCACCTCAACCTTTGCCTCTTGGGTTCAGGCAGTTCTACTGCCTCAGCCTCCTGAGTAGCTGGGATTACAGGCATGCACCACCATGCCCAGCTAATTTTTTGTATTTTTTTTTTTTTTTTTGAGACCTATTTTCGCTCTTGTTACCCAGGCTGGAGTAGCATGGTGTGATCTCGGCTCACCACAACCTCCGCCTTTTGGGTTCAGGCAATTCTCCTTCCTCAGCTCCTGAGTAGCTGGGATTTCATGCACCCGCCACCGTGCCCAGCTAATTTTTTTTTGGTTTTTTTTGAGATGGAGTTTTGCTCTTGTTGCCCAGGCTGGAGTGCAATGGCATGATCTCGGTTCACCACAATGTTTGCCTCCTGGGTTCAGGCAATTCTCCTGCCTCAGCCTCCTCAGTAGCTGGGATTACAGGCATGCACCACCATGCCCAGCTAATTTTTTGTTTTTTTTGTTTTTTTTTTGAGACCTATTTTCACTCTTGTTACCCAGGCTGAAGTAGAATGGCGTGATCTCGGCTCACCACAACCTCCACCTTTTGGGTTCAGGCAATTCTTCCTCAGCCTCCTGAGTAGCTGGGATTACAGGCACGCACCACCATGCTCAGCTAATTTTTTTATTTTTATTTTTGAGTTGGAGTTTTGCTCTTGTTGCCCAGGCTGGAGTGCAATGGCATGATCTCGGTTCACCGCAATGTCCGCCTCCTGGGTTCAGGCAATTCTCCTGCCTCAGCCTCCTGAGCAGCTGGGATTACAGGCACACGCCACCATGCCCAGCTAATTTTTTGTATTTTTAGTAGAGACGGGGCTTCACCATGTTGACCAGGATGGTCTCGATCTCCTGACCTCGTGATCCACCTGTCTCGGCCTCCCAAAGTGCTGGGATTACAGGCGTGAGCCACTGCACCTGGTCCCCAGCAGCGTCTTTTGGCTCGGCTCCTGGCCATCTCCTGGAGGCCTTTCATCTGTCGGCCCAAAGCTTCCTCAGGTGGCACCTTTCGGGAATCCCTTCTGCCTCCCGGTGGCCTCAACAGAAGGGACACCTAGAAGGCCCCACCTGAGGAAGCTTCGGGTCGACAGACGAAAGGCCAAGCCAAAAGAGGCTGCCTGGTGCAAAACTTGGGCCGGCTGATGTGGCCAGGAGAAGGTTCAGGCCTCGTGAGGCTGCCAGTAGGGAGGCACAGGCTGGGCCTCCTGGAGTGACTGCCTGATGGGAACAGGACCTGGGCCCCATGGGGCCACTGGGATGCAGGACCTAGCCCCGGAGGGGACCACGTGATGATGTATTGTGCCCATGTTGGGGGGTGCCGCCGGGAGGGCAGGAGCTGGACCTGCAGACGCGGACTTCATGACCCAATGCTTGGGCTTCCCGAGGCCAGCAGGAGGACAAAGCAGGACTGGGCCTCAGGGCCGAGCTCTGGAGTCCCCGCAGCCTCCCCAGCCCCAGCTGCTGCCTGCTGGCTGCTTCTGCAGGCCAAGGTCTTGCCTACCTGCATCCTGGCTGCATCCACAGGCCCAGCACCTCCCTCACACTGGCCAGTTGAGGCTCAATTCAGCCTGAAGCTTTCTCAAGTGGGGTTTCTGCCTCCGTTTTGCCTACCAGTGGCCTTGACAGGCCCTGCTACCATCTGATGTTGGCCCCTCCGGACCCAGCTCTGGATTCTCTGCAGCCTCCCCAGCACCAGCTGCTGCTTGCTGATGGCTTCCCCACACCAAGATCCTGCCTGCCTGCCTGCCTGCCTGCCTGCCTGCATTCTGGCTGCATCCACAGGCCCAGCGTTCCCCTCACAGTGGCTCATTGGAGCCCAGTGCTTTCCTTACAGTGGCTCATTGGAGCCCAGCGCTTTCCTCACAGTGGCTCATTGGAGCCCAGTGCTTTCCTTACAGTGGCTCATTGGAGCCCAGCGCTTTCCTCACAGTGGCTCATTGGAGCCCAGCGCTTCCCTCACAGTGGCCCATTGGGGCCCAGCTCGTGCCTGTGGCAAACCTCTCCGGACCCAGCTCTCGCCTCACTCTTGCCTTGAGTCTAGGCTCAGGCGCTCCCTCGCAGGGGTCTTCCTCAGCCCAGCTCGCCTATCACAGACTCTCCCGGGCCAGCTCCTGCCTCCCAGTGGCCTGTCCAGGTCCAAAGCTTCCTCTCTGGGCCTGGCCTCCCCAGGCCCAGCTTCTGCCCGTGCCAGGCCCATACCGGGCCCAGCCTCCGCCTTTCAGTGGACCCTCCAGGCCCAGCTTGTGGAATCACCGTGGCCTCTGCTCAGGCCCAGCTCCTGCCTCTGTGGCAGCCTGTATCCACAGGCCCTGCCCCCAGTCTCTCTGTGGCCTCATGGGGCCAAGCTGATGCCTCCCGGTGGCCCTCCCGGGCCCAACATTGGCCTGCTGGCCTCCTCTCTGGGCCCAGAATGTCTTCAGGTAGGTGTTTCGGGGCCCAGTTTCTTTTCTCGGCCATGTCTATGGGCTCAACTTTTGAATTTTCCTTGCAGCAAACTCTGGGGACTCGGTTCCTCCCCAGCCCCTGGCAGCCTGCATAGGCCCGAAAGCTCAGGCCCTCTGTCTGATCACAGCTCAAAGGGGGAAAAGGAACTAACGTTCTCAGGCTCAGGTCACCTAATTCCTGCCCTCCTTTGCAGGGTGGGTCCCAGGGATACCACCCACACTGGCTGTTTGTTCACTTGCTAGCACCACCTGGCAGGTTCCTCCCTGGGGCAGACTGACTCAGGTGCTTCCCTTTTCTGGTTTCCTGGCTTGAAGCCGGCGCTCTGCAGCTTCACAGTGAAGCTCAGCCAACAGTACAGAGAGCTCAGGGACCAAGAGGCTGGATAGTGCCAATGGTGGTTGAGGGTCCTGGCCTGAGTACAAGGACCATTTCGTGATTGTTGTCGCCACCACACACAGCAGTGTCCATCCCATAGCACAGCCTCAGCTCCTCTCCTTTTGCTGTGTCCCAGGCCTTAGAGGGGCTGCCATCCTCAGGGCCGACAGCTCTACAGCTTTACCTGCTCGTGCGTAGAACAGCCTTACAAAGGTTAGGACACAGCTCAGGGTCACACCGCAAATGATTAAGCCACGGTCCACCCTCGACCTGGTGTCTCCAGAGCCTCGGTTCTCTTCTCTTCATGGTGAAATCCCTGCTGGACTTCCTGGCAATCCCTAGCTCCTCTCTGCAAGGAGTGAGCTCTGGGGCCCAGCCTTTGCCCTTGGTCCCATCACAGCCCCCAGCCATCTCCCCATGGCAGCCCTTCATCAGACACAAGCTACAATCCTCCACAGAGCACGGTCTTGCCAGCCCCCAGGAGAGATGCTGACCCTGATTGACTGTGACCATGATTGGTGTCCAGAGGCGCTGGCAGCAGGAATGTCAAGCTGCCATCAAGAGTAATGGGCTTGTTTCCCTGTGGGCACCGGCGAGCCAGCTGGCCTTGGTGCCCATGTTGGCCAGTGGAAATTGTCCCTGTTAATAGTGAGAAGTGGAGACCCAGCCTCTGAACTCACAGGGGCCCCTGCCTGACTGGCCGCCTCCCTCTTTGCAGCTGCGGCATGAAGCTGAACTTGGACTACCTGCTGGAGATGCTTTGGGAGTACTTGGCCCTGACCTGCATCTACACCAGGAAGAGAGGACGTGAGTTACACTGAGTGTAGCTGAGAAACAGGCTGAGCTTCATCCTCCCTAAAAGGCTGCCAGGCCTGTGGGTGGTGTCCAGAGACCCCGGCACCAGCTCTGGCCTGGCTTATTTAGACACATCGCAGCTCTTTTCCCTTCTCAGCACTGGGCACTGCTGGTTTTGAGGGTGCCCTGGTGGGGCAAGGCTACCTTGGGGTCCTCAGTGTCTGCAGCAGTTAGTGCCATCCTGACCTCCCCTCACAGTGACAGACCCCACCACAGGAGCATTAGTGACCTGAATCCACAAGAGCCCTCCCCATGTCTGACCCCCACCCATCCTCCTGGTGGTTGCACACACACATATGCCCTGGGGTCCCAGCTGCTGAAATCAGAGCACTTTGCATCAACCCTGACCTTGGCAGCAAGGAGCGAGCTACAGTTTCCCTCACAAGACTCCAACATCCCTTTGGTTCCTGCCTGTTGAGTCTAGATCCTGGTCTCTGTCAGTGCTTTCACAGCAGATGGGTGGCAGGCAGTGTGATCCTGGACTTTGATTTATTTTGAGTCACTGTGTTCAAGTAAGGCTTGTAGAAGGTGGCGCAGGGATATATGTGGAGGGCGTGCTGTATATCTGGGACATTAGGCCAAGGCAAGGAGACTGAAAGGGCCTCTGCAGCCATCTCTTCCCTCGGGCAGAATCATGAGGTGGCAGTGTGGGTCCTCGTGTGTGGTTGACGCTCTCCCCATCTCGCCCTGCAGAGAGGCCGGACTTCACAGACGCCATCATTCTCCGGAAAGGGGCCTCAGTGGAGCACGTGGTGAGTTGACAAGACCTGTCCTAACAAGGGGTGGGAGCTCTGTGTGCCCCTTGGAGCGCTGTTCTGCCTGAGGTGCTCTGGGCCAGGGGTGGGATCTGCTGGTCTCAATCTCAGATGGTGACACTCAGGCTCTGGAGTTGGACAGTCTGGGGCTGCGTCTGCAGCACCGCTTCCTAGCCATGTGCTGTGCCTCCAACCTCTCCTGTGAGGTGGGATGTGCTGCCCGCCCCCCTGGGTCATCAGGAAGACACGTTGGATGAAGTCCAGCATGTAGGGCACTGAGCACGCTGCCTGTAGTGCATAGATGCCAGTAACCCTGCTCCCATGCCATTCAGGCATCAGCCAAGGAGTGGGGAGTGGCGCTGGCGCAAACAGAAGTCAGGACAGGTTTCAAGGAGGCCACCTGAGCTGGCTTGTAGAACTAGCAGGTCTGGCAGTGAGGAGTTGGGGTGGGGAGCATCCCAGATAGGGGAGCAGTCATGCACAGGCCCCAGAGGACGTGCTATTGGCTCAGGGAGCACGAGGCTGCCTTTCTCTGTCCAGAATTCTGTCACCTGAACATGACCCTGCAGGCATTGGTGGTGGCCAAGTGTTGGGTCACATGGCTGTGCTTCTGGGTTGTTGCTTTTCCAGGTGTTATTTTCCTCAAGCTGATTTCTTCTTGGGATCTGTATCATGGAAGCAAGGGACACTGTCCCTCTAGCCCCTTATGACAGTGGTGGCTGGGCTTGCAATCTGGTCTCATGCATTCATTCCTTCTGAAAGCCCAGCCCCAGGTCTTTGGGTGCCACCCTGGAGGTGTTGAACAAATGAGGCCATGCAATGTCCCATCTCTCTAAGACCTAGGCTTGAGATCACAGCAGGAGGAGCCAAGAAGGCTCACGATCACCCTCCTGAATCCCTTCAGACACTCACAAGTGGCAAGGTGAGTAAAATGTAAAACCCATTTGCAGGCCTGAATCAGCCACCTTCCCATCTCTGTCAGGGAAGTGGACCTGCAGGCCTGGCGCCGCCTCTGCCCCAGGGACACTGGGCTGAGGCGTTTTGTCTCCCACTGGGGCCTGGAAGACTTGTGGGCATGTAGGGGGAGGAGCCACATCGCACAATTGCAGAGTCCCTTCCCTGCCGCCCTCCACTGTCCCACCATCAGAGTGGCAACCAGAGGTCCACACTCTCAGGGCAAATGCTGGCTGCCCCTCCAGGGTCTCCTTCCAATTTCACATGACATCTGGGACCCCTGTGACCTTCATCCCTACCAAGAAGCACTGGAGGGTGTACGCTGCTCTGGGAGTTGGGGGTGATGTGATATGTGGGAGGCTTCAGGTCACAGGTGGGGCCAGGAGGAGTGAGAGACAGTGTGGTTGAGCTTGGGATGGGGTTAGGTGGAGCCTCACCTCTGTCTCTCTCCTGTCCTCCAGTGCTCCTGCATCCACCGGTCACTCGCCAGCCAGTTCTAGTATGCCCTGGTGTGGGTAAGTGTCTGGGTGGGAGGCAGGCAGGGGCTTAGACCCAGCAGAGCCCCCGGATTAGGCATGGAGCAAGGCGTTCACATTCCTCTGCATGGTGTGTTTTTCCTGTGGGGATTGGCATGACTGTGTGTCTGTCCTCCATAGAATGTATGTGTTCACCCAGGCTGGACATGGGCCTTCCCCACCCTTTTTCTTTTTTTTTTTTTTTTCTTTGAGACAGGGTCTGGCTCTGTCTCCCAGGCTGGAGTGCAGTGGCACAATCGCAGCTCACTGCAGCCTTGACATCCTGTGCTCAAGCAATCCTCCCACCTCAGCGTCACAAGTAGCTGGGAGTATAGGCGCACACCAGCATGCTTGGCTGATTTTTTATGGAGATGGGATCTTGCTATCTGGCCCAGACTGGTCTGGAACTCCTGAGCTCAAGTGATCCTTGAGCTTAAATGAGGCCTCCAAAAGTGCTGGGATTACAGGCATTAGCCACTGTGCCTGGCCCTCCCCCACCTTTGAGGTCAGGGATGGTCAGACCACTGCAGACATCCTGCTGCCTGGGGCCCCGACCTTACGCCGGCATTCACCCCCAGGACACACACCCCGGGGATATCTTTCTTGGCCTTGCCCTTGGCCAGTCCAGGCTGAGGTGACCCCTCTGCCCCCATTCCTCACCCAGGGCACCAGCACCAAGTACAGTCTGCAGCGGGTGGGTCTGACCCACACCATGGAGCATGAGGAGGTCATCCAGATCGTGAAGAAGTAATGGCGCCTGCCAGGCCTCCCGCCCACCTGCCTCATCTCCCTGGGGGCGTCGGTCCTACTGGGACACACAAACACCCAAACAAAAATACAAATACACACACTTCTCTGACACTCGGGGTGGGGACCCTTCCAGGAAGAAACCCCCTTGGGTCCTCCACTCAAGGCTCTCCAGGATTGGAAGCAGAGGTTAGTGGCTTCAAAGGCCCAGCTGACACCCTCCACAGCCTAAGGGGTGTCCTAAAGTGCCTCCCTCTTTCTGACCCTCCCAGGGAAGCTCCTGCCCAGCACAAAACCCCCAGACCCTGGCTCTACACACCTGGGCCAGGGACTTTTGAGTTTAGAATCTGTTTTCTAAGTCCCTAGTTCTCCTGGCTCTCCTTTCTGAAATAAAGGATTGAAAACCATTCCTGTCCAGACTGAGAACACTTTGTAACCTTGCTGAACAGTAGCCAGGTTGAGTCAGGTGAGCACAGGTCAAGCATTGAGGGTAGCAGTGGGCCTGGGAGTTGGAGAGGGTGGAGCCTGGATCCCCAGGGCAGCCCCAGGCCATGGGTGGCAAGGAGAATGCAGGATTCCTCAGCCAGGCACAGGCAGGCTCTACCCAGGGAGTTGGTCATGGGTGTCAGGCCCAGACTGGCCCCTCCAGAGGGGCCTGGCTGCCAAGGTGGGCAGCATCCCAGGAGGCCTTTGTGACCATCTGGGTGGCAGGGAGGCTCCCCCATGAGAACAAGGTGGCTGACCATTTCCTGTTGCCTCAGAAGCCAGGAGGAGAGGGGCTGGCAGGGGCTCGTTGAGTACCCATAATGTGCCAGGGACAGTGCCGGCCCCCCACAGTATTCTACTGTCCCTTGGAAGCTGGTGCAGGTTGCAGTTTTTGAATGCAGAGCCTAGATGTAAGACCTGTGAGCAACAGCGAAGGCTTCCCGGAGGAGGTGTGCCTTTTCGGAGGGATGCAGCAGGTTCTGTGAGGCTGTCAGGAGAGGTAGAGAGCTCCAGGGGGGCCTAGGGCCCAGCTGGAATATGGAGCAGGCCCAGGCCCGGGTCCTGGGCTGTTTGCAGCTCCGCTGTCAGCTGCTCAGTCCTTTCCAGAGACAAAACAGGAATAATAGACATCATTAAATATACATGGGGCCCCAGGCGGTTGGCCTGGTGGGCTGGGCCTCACTTCCCCATAACACCGAGCTGCTCTGCTGGGCCGATCGTGCTCCTGGGCCAGCCAGAGGACCCCCATGTTGTGGCATGCAGGCTGGGAGCAGGCCACGGGACCCTAGCCTAGAGTCCTTGGGGTTGGCCACTAGCTACCCTCCCATCCCAGACTGCAGGGGCAGCAGCAGAGCTGGGGCCTTGCCCCTAAGTCACCTTGAGGACCCTTCGCTGCCTCGCTTTGTTCATCTGTGAGGGGTGTGATGCCCACGCAGCCCCCTCCTGGTGATGGTGGGATACCAAGACAGGCAAGGGCTCCTTGGCTGCCTCTCCCAACAGCCCTGATGCCTGGCCAGTGAGGCCCTAAGTGAGGGTTTCTACCTGGGTGGTGGCCATTCCCACTTCCACTTTACAGGCAAGGGCTCTGGCCCTGGGTGAGGTGGGGAAGGCCTTGAGTTCACACAGTGTCAGGCTGAGTCTGGGCCTTGGGTTAGATCCAGGCCTGTTCTGTCCCCCTGGCTGGCTGACAAGGGTGGGGGGAAATGAGGCCAGAGGCTGGGGGGTCCTCAGGCAGTGAGGGCTCGGGTGAGTGGCTCCTGCCACTGGGCTGCATGTTCCTGGGCTAGGTCTGTTGTGCGTGGGGGTCAGGCAGGCACTACAGCTCTGTTGTGTCCTGGGCTTTCTGGATCTGTGGGCAGGATGGCTGTATGGTCTACATTTGCATGTGAGAGAGTGAGCGAGAGATCATGCAGCCGTGTATGCCCAGGTCAGTGTGAAGCAGTTCATGGTGCCCTTAGGGCTGGGGAAGCTCCCTAAGACCCCCTCAAAGGTCCCAGACCCCCCCAACCTGGGCGGGCTCCAGGCTTGGGCCTCACCCTGTCAGCCACCTTGTTCTCATCACTCATGCTCCCTGGCAATCACAGGCAAGGGTATGCACCCTCACCCAGGCCATGCCCAGGCAGCAGAGCTGCACTCAGCTCCCAGCTGGCATCCCTGCAGCCTCCCGGGGGTCATCTTCCCACAGCTTTAGAAGACTCAGGTACAAAGGAGCCAAAGAAATGCATATTATTCTGTCCCATGCTTGTGCATTCTCTCATTCTCCATCTTTCTTCCTCTCCAGCTTAGATTCCACAGTTTTTTGTTTCAGAACCCTCCTTTGGCAAGAAAGCCAAGTCGAGAGCCTCTGCTTCCCACTCTGTCCTTCTCCTAGACGGCTCACCCCACCTCCAGCCTCCATCTCACCAGACCTGGGTCCAAGCAGCCTTTTTGACTCTCCACTGCACTGTCCCCATAGCCATCCAAATGCTCCGTGTCCCAGACCAAACGTGGCGTTCCCACCCCACTCGGCCTCACCTCAGAGACACTCCGTGCACCCTCCAGCTGCACCAACCCAACCCCAAGTTCACCTGGCTCCCCCCTCGTCCCAGCTCCATCTAGCCCCTCACCAGGGCCAGCATGTTTCACCTCATCCTGAATGTGTCCACTGGACTCCATCACAGCATGGTCCCAGTCACGCCACTGTCCCCGCTCCACTCTTTTCACATGGTGGCCTGAGCTGCCTTTTCTCCTGCTTCCTAAGAAGCCATGTGAGCCAGTGGTTGAGATCGTGGACACTCTGGAGCCAGACTGCCCAGGCTCAACTCCACCTACAAGCTCTGTGGGCCCATGTCCTCCTCTGCAAAGTGGGAAGAATAATCACACCCACTTCAGGAGGTTGTAGTGAGTTGAGTTCTGTGTGGCCTGGCAGTTCTGAACACAGGCCTTGCCGTCACAGGTCCCATTGCTTCCTCACTGTGGGCTCTCCGCTGAGGGATCTAACCTGAGATCAAGCCCTTCATCTATAAAATGTGAAAAACAGTTGCTGTCCTACCTATGTGAGAATCTAGTGTGATACTTCAGAAAAGCATTTAGCACCAAGCCTGGCACACAGTAAACATCTGGAAGTGTGGAACAGTGACCAAAGTCCCATCCCTTCCATGGCTGATTGGGCTAGTCCCTGCCTGCCACCCTGGCCGCCTCTCATTTCACATGCCCTCAATCACTCCGCTCTAGCCATAGACTGTCCCTGAAGCCCCTCTTACTACCTGGCCTTTGCACATGCTGTTCCACTTGCCAGGAATACTGTTCCCTCTTCCATGTGATCAGCTTCCTCTTATCCTTATCTTGGCTCAGGGTTGCCTTAAGACTCTCTTATCGGGAGAGTCTTCCTGGACCTCCAACGCAGTGTTCGCTTGTCTGGGGTCATGCCCTGACCTTCACAGCTCTTCTTATTGGTGTGACTCTTTGTTTAAAGCCTGCATCCAGGATAGGCATGGTGGTTCATACCTGTAATCCCAACACTGGTAGGCTGAGGCAGGAGTAGTGCTTGGGGGCAAGGAGTTCAAGACCAGCCTGGGCAACTTAGTGGGACCCTGTCTCTACAAAAACTGAAAGCAATAGCCAGGTGTGGTGGCACACACCTGTGGTCCCAGCTGCTCGGGCAGCTGAGGTGGGAGGATTGCTTGAGCCTGAGAGCTCAAGGCTGCAGTTAGCTGTGATTATGTTACTGCACTCCAGCCTAAGCGATGGAACAAGACCCTGTCTCAAAAAACAAAAACAGCAAACAACGTCTGTGTCCCCTACAATGCAGGGAACTTCATGAGAGCAGAGATCAGGTTGACTTTCATTCCACTCTGCCAACCCTGAGTGCCCTGCATAGTGCTTGGCACATAACACATGCACAACTAATGCACAGCTAATATTTAAAGAATCAATAAATGAGAGACTAGTAGCCTGACACCCACTCTGTGCTTGCACAGAGGATAGGGACCCTGAGAGGGAGGCGGGACCTGGAACCTACCAGAGAAGGGGCAACCTCAGCTGACTTCTTGCCCGAGGTTCCAGAGACCAAGAGCAGTCAGGTGGGCAGGACTTGCTTCCAGCAGTCACGCAGACCACCTCACTCAGAGCAGACAGGCAGCGGCCTGTAGCAACGATGTTGGCAGTCATAACAGCTGCTTACCCAGGCCAGCCACTGTGCCCGGCTCTCCACCATTTCATGTAATGCCCAGGTCAGCCTTGGTAGGGGAGGTGTCTACACTCACGGATGAGGAGACTAATGCTGAGGCTGCATGACTTGCTATGGGTCAGATCCAAGTGAGGAATAAGACCTGACCCAGAGCTCTGAGCTGCGGGCCTCCTCATCCCCTGGGCTAGAGCTGGGCTTGCCTCTCTGAGTGGCAGGTCTTCATCTGGACAATGGGGTTTTGCAGCGGAAAGATGCCTGCCTGCGGGTTTGAGGCATGACTTGGGCAAGCCCCTAGACAATGGTGGCCTCTCAGCCTTTCTTTTTTTTTTTTTTTTTTTTTTTTTTTTTTTTTGAGGAGAAAGAGAATAATATTTATTGGGCATGCCACACACCAAGTTAGATTTTTTAAATTATTATTAATAGCACCAGTCGCTCTGAACCTGATTTATTTCTTTTTTTTTTTATTGCATTTTAGGTTTTGGGGTACATGTGCAGAACATGCAAGGCATTTGCATAGGTACACACATGGCAGTGTGTTTTGCTGCCTTCCTCCCCTTCACCCACATTTGGCATTCCTCTCAGCCTTTCTTCTGGACAGAAAAGGCTCCCTGCTTGGGGCAGACAGAAAGTATGGCTCTGGGAGGTGCTCCTGGTTCTGAAGAGCCAGCCCTGCCCCACTTTTCCCCAGCAAGTCTTCTGACCTCTCTCTGCCTCACTTTCAACAAATGTTACCTGGCTGTGGGGGTGGAGTTGGATCTGTGACATCTCAGGCCCTGACATTCATCCTGAGAGCCTGTCTAAAGTGGTGTTTCCACTCACTGTCTCCAATTTTTTTTTTCCATTTTCACATTTACAGTGTTGTGGGGGGTGGGGACAGTGTCTCGCTCTGTCTCTCAGGCTGGAGTACAGTGGTGCAATCTCGTCTCCCGGCAACCTCCACCTCCCAGGTTCAAGTGATTCTCCTGCCTCAGCCACCACACTGTGCACGCCTTTAGCTGGGATTACAGGTGTGCACCACCACACCCAGCTGATTTTTGTATTTTTTAGTAGAGATGGAGTTTCGCCATGTCGGCCAGGCTGGTCTTGAGTTCCTAGCTTCAGGTGATCCACCTGCCTCGGCCTCCCAAAGTGCTTGGGCTACAGGTGAGAACCTCCATGCCCAGCTCACATTTATACTTTTAAATGTGACATTTTTGTTTTTTGACTCAGAAATGCACTCATATGGATCAAAAATCAAACTAATGTAGAAAGATT